CCCCCCCCCCCCCCCCCCCCCCCCCCCCCACACACACACACACACGCTCAAATAATCCTGGATCCGCCCCTGTGACACTTGCCATAAAAGTATTACTTATCCATAGGGATGTTCAACAAGAAACTTTTATGCAAAAATCGTGCGTTTAAAATCTTACACTTCATTCCTTTTTAGTCGATCATCAGTTGTGCAATTTGAGATTTGCAAACTCCAGACCCGTCTGCTTGGCGGATTAAGGATATTTGAAGAAGACGAAACTGGAACGAATTAAATTTTAACATCATGTTAATATCTTTTCATTTATTTCTTTACTTATTCATTTTTATTTTAGCCAAGAAGGAGATTTGATTGACGGCAAAATATTGAAGAGCAATAACTCGTATCTTAGTTGTAGAGTGAGGAAATGTTCAAATTACCTCTCGTGACATTAATAATGGATTTTTCAAACGCATTCAGAACTACATTATGAACAAAACCGGCGAATTTGAATCCATAGTAAAAACTCCTGTTTACATTGCGTGGTTTCTTTTTGCATTGTTCAGTAGCAGGAGTGTCTTTTCATTTTAGCCAAATTGAACAATAATACGGCCAACATGATTTTGTTTTGGGGTGAGGCAAATATTCAAGACATCGACAAATCAGATGGGTTTTTTTCCTCAATCTATATCGGTTTAGCTGCTTCGATTTAAGCTCAGCTTGGTGTGTTGCTTCAGAAGAGCGCCTAAATTCTTTAGCATCTTGCGAAACTACTTTGAATATTAGAGTAAAAATTTTGACTCTTCTTAGTTTAGCATTACGTGCTTACGTATTACAGACACGGAGCAATAAATGCTCAGTAAGGAAGCGACTCTGGCTAATTGAACTATCATCGTAACAACTGCAAAACTCAGAGAGGAAACGTAAGTACAAATATTCCCCGTCCACTTCATAGTCCAACTTGGAATGTTCGCCACGGACTTTGAGTTCCAGGGTGCAAAATAAGCAGGTCCTTGATAATCTGCGCTCTGTCAGATAATATATATGTCTAGAGACAATGGAGACTGGTGGGCTTGTCATCAGAATCGTCCTCGGCATCCTTGTGGCTTATTTTGTCTATAAATACGCCAAAGATTGGAGAGAGACCGTCCCCAAGCCAGGAGATGTCCTTGGAGACTTGAAGCCCATGGGTTCTGAGCGATTACGAGGACTTACAGGGGAATTTAAACAAAGCGTAGTCAAGGTAGGCTTTTCGGTGGAGGTCTCAGTCATTTGAGGGGCGGGTTGCCTCAAAACAAATCAGTACTGGATTAACTCATGATAACGTGAGCATTTTTAAACGCATGGTTCGTGCACACATACTTAGACACACACACACACACACACACACACACTGGTGACACACACACCACTTGATAATGTGTTTTGTTGTTAATGATATTTATCTGTCCTATATGGCATATCAATTTCACAGGTGCATGCCATTTCTGCCTCAAAATCTGCTCTCTGTCTCCTTTAATTAGAGCAGATATAATCCGTGTATTGTGACGTTTAGTTCTACTAGAAATTCAAAAACACTTTCAAAGCGACCATTCACTTAGTTTATTCAACTGGCATCTTCGAAAATATAGAAATTGCTGTTTGTGTGTCATGTCAATAAAACCTGTTTAGTGTGACCTATATGTTCTAGTACCAGCACCAATGGGTCAAAATATAGAACGCTATTTACCAGTCCTCCGTAGAGGTGGCCAAGTGCATATAAAAGCGGATTTAGTAACAGAAAAAATATAAAAATTATTATTGACCTTAAAGGCAAAGGTGGCCATTTATTGTCATGTTCTGTTGAAATATCTCATTAACAGGTTGCAATGGTAACTTTCTACCTTTTTGCACAACGAATCATTATACGGTAACTACTTAACTTTGATAATTCAGCCTTTTGGAACTAAATTCTAGTTTACATGAGCAAAAAAGCTACATATTTTTCCCGACCCACATTGCCCATTATATAGCTTCTCCGCTGACTTCTCCAACTATAATTTTTATTTTATATTTATATTTCTGTAAAAGAAAAAATAATTATATAATATTAATAACTTTTTTCTTTAAAAAAAAAGCTAAATAGCATTTTACATTTTCAGCTACCAATACTAAAACATATATATATCATATATTAATGAATTGATTATTATTTTTTTTATTATTATTATTTATTAAGGACAGATCTGTGCCTATGCAATCCATCAGTAATTCAGCATTAAATGCTGAATTACTGATGGATTGCATAGGCACAGATCTGTCCTTAACCATTGCTTTTCAACAAATTTATGAGAGAGAAAAGGATACGTGATGATTATTCTATTTATTTATTTTTATTAATATCTTCTTTGTTGAAAAAAATATTATCTATTTTTTCTTTTGCAAAACGTATTTTAGGTGACAGACGGGGTCTACGTTGCCATTGGATATGCTCTGGCAAACTCCATTTTGATCGAAGCACCTGAGGGCGCTATAGTAGTGGACGTCACAGAAAGTCTTGAAAGTGCCCGCATGGTCTATGATGCATTCCGGAAAGTCACAAAGTCCCCAATTAAGGCTTTGATTTATACACATAATCATGCTGATCACATTTATGGAGGAGAAGTGAGCACTTCTTTGGTCTCTCTCTCTCTCTCTCTCTCTCTCTCTCTCTCTATATATATATATATATATATATATATATATATATATATAATCAAGAATGTGAATAACTTAGCTTCCTCTCTCCATTTTTATTTAAAAAAATAATATTTTTTTTAATAAAATGGAGAGAGGAAGCTAAGTTATCTGGAACTGAAATAGAAAACTGTCGCGTTTCTTCCAAACGGATCGTTTAATAAGACCCTTTAGATGATACCTGATAGCTCGAATATTACCTTAAAAGGGTTTATAAAATAATACATTTTATTTTAACTGCAGGCTTTTCTGGAAGACCCAAAACATCCGCCAGAAGTATGGGCACACTACACTATGATAGATTTAATGCGACGCAATTTTGAGAGGGTTAGTCGCATCACCTTCATACGTGCTATGAGGCAATTTGGCGTTTTCTTACCAGACCACGTTAATTCAGGGATAGGGCTAAAACTAAATTACGATGATACTAAGACAATAGGCATTGTGATGCCGAACAAGTTTTTGTATGGTGAAGAAAAGACAGTAAAAATTGCTGGTGGGTACTTATAAGTTTTTTAGTCATGTATATATATGTTTAATTTTGCTCATCGACAATTTCATTCATTTTAATCAGCAAAATGGGGACTTAGCAGATTGTTTTATAATTTCTCAGAGGTCTGTTCTCTCTGAAATTGGCATTAGGCCTATTCGCAGCATTAGCTACAATTAGTTGGTTCACAAAACGGCTAAGAAAGCCCAAATTAAACATAAAAGATTACCGCACTTTTTTTGCTCCTATTTGGTATTGGCGTAAAACTCCAACCAAATCACTTAAATCTGATCAGTTTATATCAATATTTATAAAATTATATCAAAAAAGATTTATGGTTTAGGATTGGAAGTGAAACTTCTCCACATTCCTGGGGAGACAGAAGACCAGATGGCGGTGTGGATTCCAGAAAAACGCGTCCTCTGTCCGGCAGACGATCTTTACCGAGCGTTTCCGAACCTGTACGCCATCCGCGGCACTCCGACACGTGACTTACTGCACTGGGTAAACTCCCTGGATAAAATGAGGCACCTACACCCTGAGTATCTCGTGCCTGCGCACACGAGGCCAGTTTACGGTATGTAAATACAAATGTGGACGGGAGAGGTACATCTGACATGCACCCCCCCCCCCCCATTACATATGTTTAATAAGCATACAGACAATGGGAAAAGCCTGTGCCCTCAACCAAACCAAGAAGTTGCCCAAACAATGTTAATATCGGCCCTAACGAAAATCTCTGTCACTTCTCGTCCCTGTAGTCTTGAATTTCGATTTTATATTTTAATATAAACAACTATGGCAGACAGAGGATCTAGAGGATATATTTCTAATGCTGAATTAATTATATAACCAACTTGCTAGTGTTATTCGCCAATTTGACTTAAGATTGATAAACATTAAATGTTAATAGAGGGTTCCATTGGGCATTTTCGTTACTCTGAAAGTGACGTTTTATTTTCCCGAGATGCGTGCAACGTTCATATCATGTAGAGTGGTCCGTGAAGCACCCCATTCCCGTGACTCTTGATTTGTAGATTGATGTTTTATTTCCCGTGAACTGTGATCACTAACCCTCTCCCAATGGGACCCTCTTCATGAACAAGGTCAGGAAATGATAGACCGGCAAATTAAAGATGTCTAATTTTTTAAACTGAGTATTTGATCAAATAATCTGTAAAATAATTTCTTTCACTTGAATTCAGGTGAACAAAACATATTTGACCTTCTCACCCTCTACAGAGACGCTATACAGTTTGTCCACGACCAAACCGTGCGATTTCTTAACAAGGGATTCCTCCCGGATGAAATTGTCGAGAAGGTTCAACTTCCCGCTAGGGTGGCAGATCATCCGTTTTTACTGGAGTTTTACAGTTGGGTGGTCTGTGAAGGGGGTTGTCAATTCTTACATGGGATGGTTCAGCGGTGACCCTGTTGACCTCTTACCTTTGACACCAAAAGCTCGTGCGGAGCGGATTGTCAGGTTGGCTGGGGGAGTGGATTCAGCTTTGACAGCTGCTCAAAAAGCTCTGGATGAAGAAGACAACCAGTGGGCCTTGGCGTTATCAGCAGATGTATTTAGACTGTATCCCGAGAACAGAAAAGCAATGGATATAAAAATTCAAGCTATGAAAAGGCTGGCAGAAGTACAGACGAGTTCAAATGGCAGAAACTACTACCTTACCTACGCCTTGGAAGACGCGGGTGCGCTAACGATCCATCCTCGCAAAGATTCGCGAGAATCTATCATCCGGAAAGCCCCACTCGGGTACCTTTTCGAAGCAATGAAAGCTAAATTGAAAGCAGAGGAAGCAGCAGAGGTCAACGCTTCTTTGGCGTTCATATTCACTGATATAAATAAAAATTTCACATTGCACATCCGAAATTCAATACTGGACGTGGTCCAAGGAGAATCAGAGGAGTGGACGCATAGAGTGACGACAACTAGCGCCATCTGGCGGGACATTTTGGCGGATAAGAGAAGTGCGCTGGCAGTCATTGCTACTGGGGAGCTGTCAGTGGAAGGCGGCGTTCTTGGCTTTAGGAACATCATGGATTTGTTTGAAAAAGACAAGGATTAACATTGCAGACCTCATTTGAAAATCATTGAATAAGAAAGTTTCTAATACACCGCTTGGAGGAAATATGCATCTGTACATTTACAGCATTGCTGCCTTCAATTGATTTTATGAATGATATTTTAGATAAAAGGAAAAATTGGCCTAAAAAATCAAGCAAATAATAATAAAATAATATAATAATAATAAAAAGACACTAAATCATCCATGTATTTTTTATTTTACATTTGTTGTCAGTGAAAAAATATCTATCTACATTTTCCAACCTTGACACATTAAGTTATACTCATCCTTAATATTGGTTTGTCTTAGTAAAAAAATCTTAACAAGTTTATGATTGGGCATCATATAAAGGTAGACACTAATTTCTAAAACTGTCTTTTAAAAGCATTAAAATTAAATTGCAATATTTACATTTATGTCAGTGTACATACTTCTAAAATAGAATTGTCTACACATTAATAAAGAAGCTTTCTAAAACCTTTTCTGGTCCTTAAAACAACAGATGGCCCCAGAGCATATCAGCAAGTGTATATAATCACATTTTTTCCACAATATACATATATTCATGTAAAATGTGTACCTTTCAAATGTTTTTTAAAACATAATATGGACAATTGTTACATACATAGCTTTGCCAATACTTGGAATGTGCTTCAAAAAAATTCTACTTGAGTGTAAATTTCATATTAAATTTTTGTGAAGCTGTATCTGTACATTGAATTATACATGTTTACAAGTAGCTGTTGTACAGCTAGTATGAAACTGTTCCTGCTGATCCCATAAATATCAACTACAATCTAATGGAAGAGTATTAATATACACTACATAGCATTCAAAGCACTGTAATTCTAGATCTTGGGTATACCAATACGTAAAGGGGAGGGAGACTAACTAATTTATGGTACAAAAAGCTAAAAAAAAGTCTGGTTAGATGTACAGCAAATTTTTTACACTGCTCAGACTTTACAGATAAAGAAATATGTACAAAATATAGATTACTCATTAGTCACTCCTTAAAAAGACTGAAAAGAAAATAATTACCAGAAAATGGCTATTTCTGTTTTTAAAAAAAATGTCAGAGAAATATTTGTCAGTGGCAGTGGCAATTTGCACAACGCAGATGGACAGAGTCAACTTGTTGAACCTCAACTAAATCCTTATTTGTACACTTAGAGTGTGAACTAATATAGTCTCTTTCTAATTCAAAACAGCTGAAAAAATGAAAGTGTATCAAAATGAGAAAAAAACTGACCAATAACACAAGAAAATCTTGAAATGGCAGCAAAAACTAGACAGCAGAGTCTTATATATAATATTCCTTCTTTGTTGACACTTCAGGCTGCCGCGTTGCTCCACGTGCAATGGCCTCGTCAGCTTGATTCGATTCTTCCGCCCCTTTGGCCTCATATGTTTTGTACTCTCCCTTTTCTCGCCTCCAGTATCGATAGACCAGGAAGGCTACTAGGATCAGTATCACAAAGACTATCGCCAAGACACCTAGAATAGATATAAAAATATGATCAGTCTGGTATAAATAATAAACACAATAACAAATGACACCGTTTTCTTAAACCCATTTCTAAAAGTTTTTTTATAGGTTCGATTTCAGCACTGCATGAAGTCATAAAGTACAAAGAGAGACGTTCCAACTGAGCAAATTTAAATGGAATTTAGCAGGTGGCTTAAATACAGAGAGATTAATTTTCTGTATGAATAAATTATAATAATTATAAATATTATCTCAGTATATTAAATTTTACCTAGAAAATATTTGTAACTAAATAACTCAAAATTTTACATAAACACAATGCAGTTATTTCACAAAGAAATTTTATAAACAGCCTGGCGATATAATGGCATTATAGAATGAAATATCAGGGAAGAAAATAAAAATACAAAGCAGGTAAGTGAGAGGAAAAAATCAAGCTTATGTTTCACAAAATGCAGTGTTCTTTAGTGAGTAAAACATTTAAGGTGTACGTGAAGATGATGAATGTCTAAGAAAAATGCACCTCTAGTAAACAACTAGACTTCATTTGGCATGCTGTTAAGATTAATCTTGTTAGTCCACATAACAGAAAGCAGAACATGGAAGGGCAAACAACAACAAGTATTGTATCTCATAAAAGAAATTAAAGTACAATAAGAAGCCTACATCCAACCATCCCTGAAATATCAAACACCCAATAATGACAGAAAAGACAAAAAAGAAAATGGTGTCGCAAAAAACAACTATTTCTTATATTACAGCAGGCCAGTAGCCAGCAGCATCAAAAGGACGGTACTTTTTCCGAAAAAGTGGACCTTTTACAATGAAACATTTGTGTACCTAGATCAAATTTTAACCAGAATGGACCTTTTCCTGACAAAAAGGCTACATGCATGTACAGGTTCATCTACATGTCAAATTTGTCAAGAATAAAAGTGGTTCAAAAGATAGATATATATATATATATATCTGGGCCAAATGGCTACAAATTATGTGCAAACAATTTCATTGGACCTCCGTTTTTAATAGTAAAAAGTTTTCATTTAAGTTTCTGAACATGTAATTTACTTGTAACCAAGACTGTCAGAGCGGACGAATGAAACAGTCTAGAGGTCAAACAAATGTGTGGACCTATCATAAATGAGAACATTTTACTACTGCATGAAGTTACTCCCCTGTAAGTGGCAACATCTATTCATGTTGCCCTCAAATCAGCACAATTTTATTAATAAGACAAGAAAAGAATAGAACAGGTCACTGCATATTAGAGAATGTTCTAAATGCAATGAAGGAAGAAAGAAATCTTGTTGTCTGTCACCTCTGAAACGACTATTCATATAAAATACCTCCCATACTGGAGGCTTAAAATGCACCTGGTGTTAGAATTGGCCTGTAGTAGAAAGAGTTTAATTCAAAGAAAGGAAAGAGCTTCCCAACACCAGTAAAATGACCACAGCTTTAGTTTGTACCTCCTATCACAGCACTCTGGGCCTGGTTACTCTCCAAATACTGTGATGGAATAAACTCTCTCTTCACTCCTCTATCAGGGCGTAGTTCCTCTGGCTGGTCTTCATCTAGAACTTCTTCAAATCCACACATGCTCTCATTGAAGTCACCTAATAAAAGGAAGGTGATGAGCCAACATAAAAGCATGCCAACACATAAACAAAAGAAGTATATAGCACAGGCACTGCATGGTGTCATGGTAACTATGGTGATATCATGGCAACCCAGTTCCTTGGTAACCATGATGGTATCATAGCAATGCAGTGTTCCTTGATTAATATGATGCTGGTGTTTTTCAAAAGGATTATGTTGTTACTAAACAATCATGATGTTTTTTCCCACAAAAAAAAATCATCATTTCTCAGACTGCAAAAGACCTGCCTGCCTTTTCATGCAATGGGGATGCATTTCTAAAAGCCTCTGAAAACAAACAACATGCATGTCTTCATGCACACAAATCCATGCACATTCCAACATATTTCAGCAACTTATGTCTTGTACCTCCTATTAGAACTTGATTAGCAATATGTATTTTGTTTTTTGCAAAATTATAACTTGGATCTGCTGTGGGAGGAGGCTCCTTGGTTGGTCTGTACTCTGGTGGTTCAGGAGGTGGTAAAATCTCCTCTAACCCACATCTACTCTCTTTGAAATCACCTTAGTTGCACAACAAAACCAGGGGTTACATGTTCTTTGAAATTTACAGTAATAGAAGTTCATACAGCCATTCTAATTTCAATAAAACATTTGTTTGGCCAACAAAGTCATTCGACAAACTCATCCATTGTAGCCAAAACAATTAATTCAACATGATAAAATATTTACATTAAATAGAAGGCCTGCTATGAATAACAACAAATCTCCAAGTGTTATCTAAACAGTTTATGTTCAGACAGTGATAGTATCCAAATGATGAAAGCAACTTCATACTTACTTGCTTTAGGGAACAACTGAATCCAGTTTGGTCTTGGATCCCTAAAAGCTTCTTTTATTGGATAAATGGTGTCAAACTGCATGTGGTAAATACAGCCTTCAAATCCCTCCCCAACAGGTGTGGAGGCTGAAATAATAATAATAATAATAATAATAATAATGCTTATTCAGCCAACTGAATATGTATTAAAAATATGCATAATCAGTAATTACTTTGCTATCCCAGGTGTGGAATATTCACTTTTAGTGTTAAATGCCTGTAGTGTAGGCTAGAGGATAATTTTTATTTTCATTTAACTATTAATTTATTCAAAAACTGATTTGTCCACTGATGTATGCATGTAGCCCCTATATGATCAGAATTTAGAATCCACTCACTGTTCTTTCCTATGTACATATACTTAGGAGCATCCAGCTTGGTGTCAGAGTTGGGAGGCAGATTAAACGTCTTCGTGACCTCGGGGTACTCATCAACCTGCAGTGAGCAGCAACAACAGGAACAATAAATAAATAAATAAAAATAATAATAATATAGCAACAATGACATCTACAGAGGGTGTTAATGGTTTGAACTACTGGTAATGACTCCACAATGCCCAGTAACTGATAATAATATAAATAACATTATTTATCTATCTATTCAAAAATTTACAATCCAGAGGATGAAGTTCTATTGCATTCATATTGTGAATATAATAAAATTTCATAAAACATGAGAACCAACAAAATTATTATCATTGCATAAAATTGAACATGTACTAATATACTTGAAATTAAAAGTATAAATCAGATACAAGTTAGCTATTGCATGGTTTACATAGAATAAAAACATTATCCGTGGTATATAGCAACAAACTTTCATGCAAAGTAGAGGCAACAATTTGAAAAATACAAATGTACAAATTTATCAGAACATCAATTCTAAAATGTGAAATCTTTTCAATCAACTACTAAATGTTTTTCATTTATTGGATTGTGTCTCTATAGCAACCGATATTATCATACCTGAACATGCAGCACTCTTCCATTGTTAGTTCTCCATATTCTAGCCACATGCTGCTGTTTGTTATCAAAGAGGACTCCCAAACCAGGTGCAGTACTTAATTCCTCAAGTCCAAATCCCACCTGTATGGACACCTTGATACCACCTGAAAGTTTATTAGAAATGAAATGTTTCCTGAATTTGTGTCTCTGGGAATAACAACTGTCAAAAGTATGAAACTGACCTTTTTTTATCAACTTGATTCCACGGGGTTCAAAATTGATCTACAGACATCTCCAAATTTTTTACTTTTTATCTACTCAGCAATCAAAATATCCACCCAGAATTTCATTTTCAGAAGTTACTACACAAAAAACAAGGACACAGAAAAGCATTTATATTGTTGCATTTTGTTGACAGCAGATTTAATGTGATAAATTAAATGCAAATCAGCTAAAAGAAAAACTATCCTCCTCTGCTCACCATTATTATTAATCTCTACAGTCAAATACTCAGAGTTGTCGGCGTTTTGGATCTGCATGAGTATTCCTTGCTTGAGCTGTGTAGAGAATCCAATCTGGATGGTTTCTTCATCAGTGGACACACTCCCAAATGTGGAGTCAAATGTGTACAGCAACATCATGTTCCTCAAAAAGTTAGTGCCAACCTCTGAAAATAGGAGAAAAAATAAAGTTTAATCAGATATAAAATGTAATTTGGCATATCTGATTTGGCAAGTAGTCACATTCGTTAAAGGTGTTTTGTTGGTGTCAAGTTGCACATTATTGCAGCACATATTAAAAACAATTAAACATGGCTACAAAATGTGGTGTCACTGATTCCTGTTAGGACAGAAAATGAAAAGCTTAGACAAATAATTACAACACTTTGGTATATAAAAAGTCATTTCACTATGTGTACTTTTTGAAAATTGGAGAAGAAAAAAATTAACAACTTACAGACTTACTATAATTTTTCAAATAATAAAGAACATTCAAATAAATAAATAAATGAAGAACTAATCAGCTGCTTCTGTTCTGCTCTTACCTCTGCCACATATGTAGCCTCTGTATGTTGTGTAGGTGCATTCACATTCATAGCGGTCATAGAACTCCTTACACACGCCATTATGCAGGCAGGGGTTACTCATGCACTTGCCAACACAACCTGAAAGTTAAAAATACTCAATACTTATACATTTAAATATCAATGAAAGCTTACAAACATTAGGAAATGCATTAAATAATGATTCTTAATAAAATTTTGTATTTTTTAATTAAAATTTTATCTCAGTAAATGATTTACAAACACAAAAAACAATTACAGATCTGGTGAACATTTTAACAGTAACGTAAGACTATGAGGTACATGGCATCACATTACTTTTCAAACATTCTCCACACTGCAATGAGAAGGAACAAAACTCAAATGAATTAATACACACCAATTTCCAGTCCATATTTATACTGGTCTTCTTGCACTTTTTTCACCATGTCATAATTCACTCCATTCACCTGCAGGGCACGCATACAGCCAACAAATCCATCCTGATAGTCCACACCAGCCCCTGGAAGGAAGAAACAAAAATACCAAATTGATGAACATGATCTGTGTAGACCATATATTTTTCCTGAAGTCCCAGGACTACTTAAGAACTAACTTTCAGGATATCATACTGCAAAGGGAAAGTTTCATTAGAAGTTCACATGGCCCATGTGGGTATATGAGCTACACTTGATGTTCAATTACAGTAACTGTGATATCCAAGTTAAAACTTATAGTACTTTCGGATATTGAATTATGTCAATGAAAAAGTACAAAACTTCTTAATTTGAATAATGATATGACTTTTCAATTTTCACTAATTTGGCTTTCGTTTTAGCTCCAAGCGAATAAATCTTAACACAACAAACTATGATTTCATTTGCATTATTTTAGAAACCAAAAGAAAAAAATAGCACTCACCAACAAAAAGCCTAGAATTCAAGGCTAGTGGCCTAAAGCCAAGGTTCTGTGGCTCTGGAATCTCCACCTCAGACTGTGTGTCTACCTTAAGTGTTGCCTCCTTACGGTTCCTCTCCACGTGGACTGTGTGCCACTCATCATTGTTCAGAGGGAAGGAGGTGATCTTGGCTAGTGTCTGAATACCAGTTCCAACATCAAAGCGGAAATAGATGGTGTTTGCAGCTGAAGATAAATGAATTTTCAAATAAAACACAAGTATACATTTTAGCATGCTGAGCATCTAATTACCCTTTTTGAAGGTACATAAATTAAAAATAACAAGTGGATGTTTATATGAAATTTGTAAATAAGTGGAACAAACATGCATCAAGATCAAATTCTGATGCAAAAATAAATATATAACAGCAATTATAATTTAAATTTACTCACTTATTAGTCGGACCTCAATAAAGTCAGAGGCACCAGTGTTTTTAATGAAGATACCGGTCGTTGCAGTTGTTTTAAACTGGAAGCGGATATCCCATGATTCTGAAGCTTTTAGTGTGTCAAACTCCAGTGCTGCATCCATTTTACGGAATGTCACTGTATTTTTGAAGAAATCTGAAATATTATGAAATAGAGCATAAGCAGTTGTTACTTTTTCACCCTTACGAGTTATTTTCAAAAAAAATTTCCTCGAAGCACTATAGGATGCAACGAAATATGCAAATAAAAATGGCATATTTTTGAAATTAAAGGCAAAGTGTCATGTTTCTTGATCTCCTTCAATACTTAAAATAAGAAGCCACTTCAATATCTTAACACAGTAAACACATTTGAAAAACTGAAGTTAATAGAAAAAATCTCCAGCAAAGCACAAGCCAACTTACGATCATTAACACAAATCAACTGGCCCAGTGTGTATTTCCCTTCTTTTGTGTCTGTCAGAGTTCCAGTGTCTCCAAAGAAAAGCTCCATCACTGGAAGATGCTCCTTATATGACAGATACCCCTCGTCAGCCGTCCAATCCAGCTTGGATGAGTCACAGTTACACAGTCGTGTCTTGTCCTCACACTGTCCAGTGATGCCACATTGACAGGACTCCGTGTCCGGCGCTGCGCCACCCCAGTAGTACATGCGTTGGTATGTGCGTCCAGTCCACCAGCCATAGGAACGTGGACCTTCTTCAATACCTGGAAGATTTTAAAAAATAAAATAATATTGGAGCAATTCCTCAATAGCTAAAGCATAATAAAATAATGAAACAAAATAAGAGCAAGCCTGAAGGATAATAACATAAGAAAGAAAAACACTGGTCAGGAACAAATTTAAAGTGATAAGAGTATATACTAATGTCAGATTGAAACTTTTTTGTACATTTCAGAACTTCCTGGCAAAAAAGACCTCATGAAAAAAATGTTTCATCTTTAAGACTGATGTTAAGTCTCTGCTTATACCCAGGGATGGTCTGTCTTTAAATAGATAATTTGGTCCATTTCACAAGGACTTAAAAAACAAATAACCAATGTTTTAGAAACTAAAATTTTAGATCAAAGAACTGGACAACTGCAGTTTATTGTAGATCAAAGCAAACATCAGTTTTCAGTCTTATTTACTAGTAAAACCTATATAAAATAAGTCACTGTGAGTAACAGGGCACAGGAGTTTTAATAGCTGCTAGCTACCTGGATTGGTCATGAGTCTGGACTGCCGACACTTGTACTGGATAAACTGGCGGCAAGTGTCAGACCGCCGTATTAACTCATCCAGCTGATGTTTGTTGGCATCGTATGTTATGGCCTGCCGATACGATCCCGGCTGTTGGAAACCATTCACCGTAGTCTCTTGTCCATTTTGGTGCCCTACCCAGGTTTCATTTTCACCCGTCTCTGTAGGACAAAACATAATTGTGTGAAAGTAATATTTAAATATGGGATTATCAGAGATACTAACCAATTTTTCTTTTGTACAATTATATAAGAATACCAGAATACCAAAATGCTATGATTAAATGCACCTGAACTATACAAAACAAACAAAGGAAAATATTTTTTAAAAACTTTTCATAAGATATTCTTAATTTTTGAAACATGGGTCCAAAGACTACAGTCACCTACAATGCACAAACCATAGCATATTTTTGTGGCAAAAAAATTAAAATTGTCCTCCATCACAATTGCTTGTACCAAGCAGCTTGAAAATAGATTTCATTTTATTCACTAGTTAACTTACGTGTGAATTTGCAGACAACTTTGAATGGCTTCAATGGGCCAGACCCATCCAGGTCAATCATGGTCTCCTTCTCGGTCAGTTTGTATGTTCTGTCCAGCTGCTTAACCTCGTCACATGACACAGGGTGAGCGGCTGCAATATCACATATATAAATATAACATCAAGTGGAAAATGGTATAAACCACTCTCCCTTTCACTTGTGAAGTTTATAAGCTTACTGATGGAAAAGAGAAACTGTGATGCAGTCTTTAACTAAAAAAAAGGATATTTCATTTGCACTGCTAAAGAAGATTATCAGTCTCAGATTTAGTGTTACACATCATAATATACTATATAATAATAAATAATATAATGTCATATGTCTATAATGTGCACTGCCCCCAGGTACCTCTAGTGAATAAGCTAAAATCAATTACAGTATTACTATTACAATATATATGTAACCTCTCAATATTTAAGTCTCAGACTGCAAGAATGAAAAAAACTCTTGTAAATCCATTAGGACAGGATTAAGACTCAACAACTACACATGACACGTTCAAAGCTACTAATCATATACAACAGACATGCTGATGATAACGACTTACATGTGTGGCACACAGCTCCCGTATAACCCGTGCCATTGCAGGTGCAGTTGAAGGAATCCCAGGTCTGGGTACACACACCATCATGTTCACAAGGATTGGGGAGACACCTGGGGAAAGTGAATTTTACTAATGTAACAGTGGACTTTATCTTATTGCATCAACTTGAACATAAATTTAAAGAAGCTAAGACAAATAAACTATAGACTATAACAAATAAAATGGGCTTGTCCAACACATTTTTCAAATCTAAATAAAGTTTTACAATATAGTTTTAATTATTATCAAAGAAAATTTCACTTCAGTTTATATGTACACCATGCCAGTGGTTCTAGTTGCACTGTGCCTACCTATCTCTCATTCCACATGTTCCATTGGCAGCTCCAATATTAGTGCCAACAGGGAGTGCATTCACACTGAAAGGATTACCACCAATGGCAAGATTCCTCATACAGCCTATGAAACCATGCTGATCATTTCTGCCACCTATAGGAGAAAGTGAACAAGTCTCTCTTAAGTGCTATTTATATCATACTTGTAAGCATATTCTAAGCCAAAGAACTATGTTTCTCTCTACTGCCATAACTTAAAGTATCACATCTTAATTCAATTTGCAATTATAGTTACACGTGGTAGATGCAATTTGGACTCGAGCCATAATGATTTTTTTCTTATCTTATTATCCAAATAGCTAAAAATCATCAATTAAACACAAAAATTGCCAGTCAAATTTATCTTAAACTAACAGTCAGGCTGAAAATGATCTGGAACCACAATATATTTTTGTGGCCATTTTTTCTTTTCTTTTGGTATTTTGACCATTGTCTTTTCTGATTAGATTTTAGACCATCTAACAATCCTCTAGTTACCTCCAATAAGTATATTAGTGGAAGAGGTCTCTATCTGCAGGATTCTCTTGGCGACCCAGGAGTAGCCGTCCACAGTCAAGTTAATTTTGTTTGTCCCAATAGACAAGTCCACTGCATGCCACAGACCATCACTGAATGCCTTGTCAGTACTCTTAGGATCTGAGGAGAAGAGAAAAGAACACATTCATTCATCACAGTTACTGACATGAACCTAGTCCTACCCTGACATTATAACTTTATTGTTGGTAAAAATTCAATAAACTATATAGAATACATTTCAAATTGGACATCATGCCTTAGTTTTAAGATAAGGAAATAAAATTAGGAATCTATGGGATTCTTTATTAAACAACTCAGCTGGCTAAATTCTAATTAGACTAAACTTTAACATAATTTCTGACATAAGATCTTGGTGTGATGGACCCTGACTGAAGCAAAAAGTTTTCATTTTGAGACTCTTTGTACCTATATTTTCAATTGTCTCCTCCACTATTGGAATGGTGGAGCCATCCAGGCTGCTCCTGCCTTTGATTTGGTACTGCAGAAACCCAGGCTTGATGATTTTCAACTGAGAAAAAGAAAAATAAATCAATGAATAAAGTTAATAATAATGCAAAATAAATATACTTTTAATTATCAGAATAAATCATATTGATTACCATTTTGTCCTAATTTGATTAATAAAATGCATCTACAAGTGTGGCTCTAAACATGACCTATAATACCATGACAAGATTTATGCCATACCATGACTTTTCTAACCATGATGTGACCTATAATACCATGACATGATCTATAATACCATAATATGGCCTGTCTTACCATGACGTGACCTCCCTGCAGTTCCTGGTACAGCATCATGCCCTCTTCATTGTAGGTCCTGAACTCAAACTTGGCAGAGTAGGTGTTGAGAGCCCCTGTAGAGGTGGGGATCTTCAAGTGGGACATAGTACTTGGAAACGTCACAGTTTCAGTTATAGCCCTCTGGAAAATTAAACCATATTTTATTTACCATCTTAATGGAAGATGTATGTATGAATTTATAAGAAAATTAGGCAATGTTTTGTGATTTACCACTGATTTAAAAATACTGTTTGAGAAAGAAATTGGTATTTGGTGAATGATTTGTACATATCATATAGTTTTATACTTATCAACAAAATTTGGAACCCCCCCCCCCCTTTTTTTTTTTTAGAAAATTATGTAACTAGTTAAATGTGAACCTAACAGTGAAAATAGGCCCCCTTTGAAAGTGAGGGTAGGTGAGAGAAACTATAAGCAGCTCATCATTTGAAAATAGTAGAAGATACAGCAACAAAATGTACATATTAATTGAAGTGAAATAAATGCACATCAATTCAAAAGCTCTAGACATGCAGAACAAAAAAAAACTTAGTGAATTGAATTTTGACTTTCAGTATACATTCATTTAAAAACATTATGTGACAATTCATTGGGTATAAAAACAACTTTCAAGGATATGCCAATTGACAGCTATTACTACTCAGTTTAAATCTAAAATGAAACACGTCTTTGTTCAAGCAACCACTCACCCTGCAGCTGAATGCGATGGACCCCATGGTGTCATGTCTGGCAACCTGTGCCTTGGCATCACGGATCAAATGCATGGCGTTGAACACCACGTTCTCCATGCAGCCTTTAAAGCCCCGCCTCACTGTCATACCACGCTTTCTGTAATCAGGGGCTGCTCCAAGGTAGATCTATCCAGAAATATAGTACAAATATGTGTGACAATAAACAACAACAGGATTGGAATAGGGACAAAGTTAAAATAATGGCTATAAAATAACAGGTTTGATATTTTAAAAAATGTTTGGCCTTTGATGAATCACTTAGGCTTCGTTCACATGCAATGTCTATTTTCTAAATTCTATTTTCTATTTGCGGTATGTCTTATGATCACGGTCTGTGGCCTGAATATCCCGCGGCGTAATTACTGGCAGCGCGAGCCAGTTACTATAAGTTACTATAAGTAACTGGCTCGCGCTGCCAGTAATTACGCGACGGGATATTCAGGGCACAGACCGTGATCATAAGATAGCGCAAATAGAAAATAGAAATTAGAAAATAGACATTGCATGTGAACGAAGCCTTATTGGACATTTTCCTACAGACACGCGACTATAAGAAAAACATGATCATATTGCTCTGCTGTTATATTAGTATAGCAACAGAATCATAAAACTCCCTACTTGTTATTTCAATCCCTTTGGTTAATATTTGACATTCAAATCAAAATGAAGTATCTAAAATGGTAAACACACAATTTCTACTGCCTACTGGCTCTTTGAGACAGCAGGAACTAAGAACCTACTGGCTCAAAACAAAAACAATGACCAGCAAGTGAATAATTTTTAATGTCACAAATGCAATTTTCCTGTCCAAATGAATCAAATATAAAGAAAGCTCACCTTCTTGTCCAGGTCCAGTCTATCAAACAGTCCATTGGCATGCTGGGTCTGGGTCAGTCTGTCCACAGTGACAGTGATGTCCTTTCTGTCTCTCAGGATTTCCACGTCATGCCACTGATTGTCATCTAGTAGACTCCCTGTCTCTACACTTGTAGCCCCCGTCTGTGTTGCTATGGTACCTGGATTACATGACATGACAAATTTTATGTTAATCTTCGAGATTTAGTTACCCAATTCAAATTAAATTTATTATAATTACTCATTAAAAGCACACTTTGCAAAAAATATTAATTTTAAGATGAATATGATCAAATTTTCATCATCATATCATCAAAAGGCGCTACTTGCGAATTTAAAAATCAAACACCTTAAGTAGTGATTACACAAATCACATCTTTACCTTACGTTACAGAAATAATCTCAAAACATAACAAATTGACCAATTACTTAGTTTTTTTTCTAAGCTCTTACTCAAGTTCATAATACTGTAATACAGACCCATAGCATATTAAACCATGCAATAGCTCTGTGGGACCCATTTTCAGTTCTTAGTTTAGAAATTAAAATTTCTCAGTATAAAAGCTTGTACAGCATGCTGTTACCCTGCCAGAAAGGCATTCATGACACCATGCTCCATTATTTCTCTCCTACCTAAATCTATGCTAAACCTAAGGTGACCTCTGACCAACTCCACAATAATATAGTCTCCCTGGTTGTCCTCTGCGAAAAGCAAGAGTCCATCTGGTTCGGTAGTACGGAACCTCATATAGAGAGAGTCTAAACGGGACTTGATTTCCCAATTTGGTTGGCTGAGGTCATACACAATGGCTTCATTGCCACCGAAGGTTGCAATATCAGAGGCTGGAAATCGATGAAAGAAACATGCTGAGTGAAAGGGTGACATACAACTAAGACTACAGTGAAAAAGTGAAGGGGTTGGGAGCAATAGTACCCGTCTTGTCAGCTTTGGCCTTGGTGATTGCATTCTCAAAATGTGGTGTGTAGGAATGCATTGTGGTATTGTGATTGGAAAACATGGTCTATTTGGAATATTGATTAAAGTCCTCCTTAATGAAATAAGAGTGCTGAAAAAGAAAACAACAGCAGGTCCTGTCAACTGGTGCGATGCCTTCAATTCTACATTTCAACCATTTAGTATAAAAATAAAAAATATGAAAGGTAAGTTGGGTGTATGTGTGTACATTCAAGTTCATATATACACAACATTTGAAAACTGTTATGCATCCTGAAAAAGAATATATTTAAGTTCTGTGAGTTATACACTATTTTATTTGGGATAGGGTGTGTATGTGCTTCGGGGGAGGGGTAAGCTTAGAGATGCAAATCCCATCCACTACCATTTCATTTCAAACACATGCCATCCATGCATTTTATCTTACCCAAATCAACACTATACACCAATCTTCCACCCAGCAACTCTATGGTGAAATAATCCAGACTCCCTTCCCCATACATTATAAGACATGATGGACAGAGACTCTTAAAACGAAATTTGATGTGGTCTGTGTACAGGTGGAGGGGGTTACCCCTGGGGATTGTGTAAACTATGTAAGAATTTTCATCAAACTGAACAGTGTTGGAACTGTTGGGTTTGAGTTTTGGACTTCTTTTTATTTTGGCAGGTGAATCTGGCAAAGAAAAAAGAAAATGCAATAACAAAGTAAGAAAATTGATAAACACATGCCATGGATAGCAAGAATACATTGGAGATCACATCTGTTGAAAAAACAAAATCATAAATCATCAAAAATAAAAAGACTTGTCACACACAGTCACTCATTCTTCTTCCTTGCAAATTAAATGTTATTATCCCAACTTAACTGAATCTCAATTTCATTTTTAAACATTTCAAAATCCCAAAATTTTTAATCCTCTCTCTCTTAAAAATTTTGGAGAAAATGGTGGAAAATTCAAATCTATTTATGGAATATAAAAACACTAAGTAAAAACTGTAACACTCACTAAATCCACATCCGTAGAGTTCCACTCTCATGGCGATATAGACACTCCACCTCTGGGGGTTAAACCTGATGAACTGAGCTACAATGGGGGTCTTGAAGGGGTTGATCACCACCCCATTGTCATCACTGTTCCCAAAAAATAACTGGAAAAAATGGAATATTGTGATGAAATCTACAATAATGTTTTCTTTAACATATCTGATGATAATTACAAAATTAACTAGATTAATTAATGTTTGTGATCTTAAAGGTGAAAAAATTTTCAACAGTCATGATCAGTTTAGCCTCAATTCAGCTTACAATGGGATGGGAGATTAGTTAAAAGAAATTTAAAATGATATAAGAATACATGTTGTAAGATTATATTTGTCTTTGATGCTAAAATATCAATTGACTATTTCAACATCATTCATTTTCATTGGGGACTTCCGTTTACATTTGTTACGTTTAAAAATTTCTAGGTTCTGAGCCTGAAAAAGTATGAATTATCACCATTTCAAATATATCAGAGCCCCTGAAAAAAAGTCATCCCTTAAGCTGTCTGAACCAGCCATAGCACTCACCTCTGGGTCCCCTGTTGTATCATCAGTGACAGGGATCCAAGTGATGTTATCTGTACTGTACTGGATGTAGTACTGGCGGACAAAACGGTTACTTCCACGCTGACCCTGAGTGGACACAGCTGTCAGTGTTTTTCGCTCCAGCAGGTCTATTGCAAAGAACTGATTGATATCATTCATGGCAGCTTGCCAAGCTGAAATGAAAAATAGAAAATTCATGATCAGTAATAAGAATGGTCCGCTTTATGTTCGCTTTTTAGCAATTTTCTATTTCACTTTAATATGCATGAATAAAAACCAAACTGTTATTTCTGATCAGTACAAGTAATGGGATACACCAAGCACAATAAATCTAAGTTGATAAAAGGATACATACTTCAAATTATAAATTTGAAACATTTCTTTATTCAACAGTTCACTTCTAAGACTTCTAAGACTATTTCACTCAAATACTTTTTAAATAAAAAGGCAACAAAATAGCACTGACAACACAAAAAAAGTATAGACCATAAAAAGACAAAGTTTCTGGGCTGTTATGATTTTTACAAAGTAAATTTTTAAAAAATCTTTATTTCAACTGAAGGGTGTCCTCTAACCTGCAGGCCCATACACCCTGCCATCATTAGGTCCTCTCTCTGGTACACTGGTAGAAGCCCACAGCTGGTCTGCCTTGATATGTCCAGACTGCATTCCTAGGGGCTGAGGCCCTGGCTTCTGGCAGTCCTCTGCTAGCCCATAGATTACATTTTGAAATTCTGGAAAAATTTAATGATTGCAATTATTAAAAACTCTAAATGCAAAATGTGTTTTTGTGAGTAAATGTGTGTATGTTCACGTGTGTGTGTGTGTGTGTGTGTGTATGCATGCATTTAGTGCATGAGAGAGAGAGAATGAGAGAGAAAGATCAATTTAAAATGTAGACATTACACAAATTGTGCTCATGTTCACACCATGCTGAAAACTTTCATAAAAGGTTTGGTGTAAGTAGACTTAATATACAGTCTTAAAGTCAAGATCAATCTTCAGACTTCTATGAAAGCAGTCCCAGTAATTGTATTCCATGACTCACCGCAAAAAACAAAGACAAAATGGGTTTACTCATTTTCCTGTGGGACTTCTAGAAGCAAACCAGCAACTAACCAAGCGCTAATACACATCAACAGCCTGCAGCTCTCGCAGCTTAAACCTTGTTATTCTGGGTTATATTTCTTAATATTAGAGTACAGCTTTTGTTAGAAGACTTGCATTCTGCTCAAGGCCATTCCCATAGAGCCATAAAGCTCTCATTTGGACGGTCTCTGGCCTCAAAAGACGGCCAATATTTACAAAGACAGCTTGATGGCTTATGACATTTTGACATATTTGTAGTAGGACTCCCTGTAAATTGGTGACCAAGTTACAGATCATCATTTTGGATTCCCTGTACTCCAAATCCTTGGGAAACCCAATTCAGCTTATGTTAAGGAAAATTTGGCATGAGGAAAGGCCCTAACAATGGCCAATATGACAGTCATAAATAAATAAAGAGAAAAAAGTAGCGACTATTTTCTTCTTCATTTGACAATAATGTTTAAACAACTAAATCTGGAAATTACACTATTTTTAAATTTAAAAATGACAGTTTCATTTAGGCAGGAAGTCCCATGTGTTAATCACTGCAGAGAGGATCTACCTGACAACATCATCAATACACCCTGTATCTTTAGGGGCATTTTACAAAGAAAAATTTATCTAAGTTCAAAAACAACAAGCAAGACAAAGGATGCATCCCTTCAATTAAAACTGCATTAACAGTAAGCTCCTAGTCAAAAAGCATACTATCAACAGCTAATTTATAATAACACCTCACACCCAAATTATCCACATGCTAACCTGTAAATCTAATGTGATCAACATTTGCTACATATCTTAAAGGGCAAACTCTTTCATCTGTTAACATTGTAAATTCAATAATAAAAGAAACATGTAATCTTTCTAACTCAAAAGAGCAGCTGTGAATACAAAACAGCAGGTCACATCACCACAAAAAATAAAATGTATGTGTGTTATACTGATAATTATAAAACACTGGTTTGCCATCACTGTGGAAATAATTAACTTGGTTATATACTGAAATCACATGTGGAATAAGAGAGAAAGGATGCCTAGCCAAAACGTTTTCAGACTGAATACTGAAATGTTTGTTTTTAATTTAGACACACAGCGTTTGAATCAAAAGGGAAAATCAAGTTTTCTGTTCTAACAACTAGAAACAGACTGTGTGTATTTTTTCAAAGACACATTTCTCCTCTTTTTTTTTTTGTTTTGTAGTATGAAACCTTTTTAGCACAGAGACTTAGGAGTACGAAATGCTAAACAACTATGCAGCAAATCCTTGCATTTTGAACACATTTATCATTATAATTAAAAAGTTACATGGATTAAAACAATGCAATATAAGCCAACTTAATTCAATGTCAATAAAATGCTTGAAGCCTAGCTGTTTGTGATCAGATATACTTAGTAAAATAAGAACTCCAGTAGTATGGTATAGTATTGAATTAAGTAAAGATACATGTGTGTATCTTTGCAATGTTCAAAAACTGCATTTATAAACAAATTAAAACTACAAGATGATTAACCCTTTCTGGATCTTAGGTCAATCATTTGCCTATATATAAAATTAAACTCACAGACAGAAAGCATTAGATGAGTGGTTTGTATTGCAAATAATTATATTCAAACAAGACATCTTAAACCTCATCATAAGGTAATTATCACCTGTTTTTTAATCAAAATGATTGGTCATTAATCTTAAATATAGTTTGAATATAAAATAATGTCATTTAAAGTTGCTTGGTAAGATTTGACCGTTACAAAAGTGGTCGTTTGCTCGTTAAGTGTGCTCTTCCAAGGTAAGAATCAACAGGTTTCTCCAATTTTGGAAACAAATTTACCACGGTTGCAGACAGGTGTGCTCCTTTATTATTGCTATGATCTACTTATAACACCCTGTTAAAATTGAAAATGTACAGATATTCATTAAAAAAAAAATAGAATTTGGGAGTCTGAAGGGGATTTTTTACTTTCAACACACCTGTGATTTACACCTGACTTCCGCCATTTTGGATGTTTTGAAACTGATTCACCTGTACGACATTCCATACTAATTAGCCGAGCTCAGAGGCGTGTATTCCAAACAAAATTAAATTTGATGCTTTAAATAGTAATAAATACTTACGTGCGTTAGTTTGAAGCACTAAGCAGCAGAGGAAAGGCGCTAAAATCGTCCAAGTTTTAAACATTCTTGTCTCTCTCAAAGGTGCGCCATTAACGTCCCCGCTGATCACGTGACCCGGTCTTAACTGAGTCATTCAAGACGGATCACAGTCCCATTCACTATTTTGAATAATACGAGCTCTCTGTGCTCTTTGGTAAAGCAATGCACAATGATTTAACTTTTTAAATTGTTACAATATGAAATATTTTACTTTTTGTTATTTCTGTTTGGTAAAAAACCAACCTGGCTTACTGTGAGTCAGTTGACTGGTGCTACCTCTAGTGGGAACTATGCGTATTAAGACTGGCGTTGTTTTGAAGCGACCCGCATCTTCAGGTCATTCGAATAAGTTCGTAAACACACAACCATCCTCTCGGCCTCAATTAAAATTTTAATCAGGTTGTAGCTACCCAGTGGATTTCATATATCCTAAAATAATGAATTTTGTTTTGAATTTTGATATTTACCACAGAAACACTTCCATCGTTTCACAACCTAGGTATGCGATTTATGAATAATGAATTGAATAAAATGAATGTCTTCCTGTGTACATATACACTCATTCTCTCTATACAAAGGTCCATTTAAAAATTTTTAAATTAAAAGTAAGCGAGTAGAAGAATTCTTTGTCCAAGTGGAACTTAACTTCCACCAGTCCACCAACTTAAAGAATAAAAAAATTACGATATTTTTTTCTGTTTTCACACAAAAAACATAGACTGACTAAAGTTTAAACCTTCTTTATTGTCGCTCACAGCATCATCTCACATTCTCATTATTATTATTATTGTTATTATTATTATTATTTGTAATATTTTAGCTGTTGATAAAATCATCATTTCAGTTATATCCATTATAAGCAAGATGATATGGTGACGATATGGTGAGAGTCATGAAACATCGCAAAAACTGCATTCTCAAAGAGAGTAATTTTCAAAACCTTCGTTGCTAGGGATTGTAAAAAATATACTTGAAGTTAAGGGCAAAATGTGTCAGTAAAATAAACGTGCACCTCTTAATACCCCTTTAGGGCAATTTAATTTTTGTTAGTAATAATAACGCGCGAATATTATCCAAAAGGTTATTTTAAAAACTCTTGTTACTAAAAAGGTTAAAACCTTCGTTACTATAGGATTTTCAGATTTTCATTGATTTACACAAAAAGCTAGATTTAACTTCATTTTTCACTTTTCTGTTTTTCTTCATATGGACCTATGAAATGAGAATGAGTTCTAGACCTATTGCCTCCTACGGTCATACGTTACAAAAGTAAACCCTCTTAAAAATTCTTCAGTGTCCTTTTTCTTTATTTTTTCTGTTCTTAAAGGTACCCTAAGTGGGACTTCCCGCCATGATGAATTTTCCGAGAAAAAAAGGGCAATTTTATTCAACTCGTGCATCACTGCTCGATCCGCCCCTGCCCTACATTGTATTGGATATTTTATAATTTTAATTATAAATATTAAAATTACTTTTTATAATTCTTATTGACTGACCAGTAATTTGGAACGCCATGACATCCTTTAACATCAGAAGAAACTGTCAAGTTTTTTTATTTAGAGGTTTTCTGGTTTTTATAGGGAAAAAATAGCTTTGCAAGGTATGTAGTCATTGAAAATATGACTTTGGGACATTTTCAAACGCGTATACCTTTAAGTATACCAGTATACCTTCAGGAAATCTATCCGTTTAACCGAACTTTTTTTACTCCATGTCAAGAATTCGATATGATCGACTAACTTGAAGCCAGTCACATGTAGGTCTTAAATAAATTGAACATTTTTCTGATGAACTCTACCCATTATCTGCGCATTCTTAATGGCGGCTTAGTGGACAAACTGGTTAGTGCGGACACGTGTCCTAACTTTGCTGTTTACGGTGTCTGCTATGTACAGTATTTGTGCTTACGTATGGAACTTCTTGTCACCCCTACCCTCTACCAGGGCCGCCGTTATTATGTGGACATTTTATCTGAGGCGAGTACAGAGAATAACCGTGGATTTAAGCAGAGACATATCCGTGAATATATAGTGAAAAATCAATCTGTAGCCATTGTAGCGGTTAGTCACCCCCCCCCCTCCTCCTCTTTAAGCAAAATCATTTCTTTTCCCTATGCAGTTTTGATTAAATACGTTGTCTACAATGTTCTTCAACTCATCTAGCACAATCGTCGCTAGGTACATCGTTTTTAAACCTCAACGAACACAATTAGGACTAACAACACCTTGAGCCCGCTAGTACACAGAATACGTTTTGCTGGTTTATTTTTTATTATAAAGTTTTAACTCTCAGATAAATGTGGATTAGCCCTTATTATACATTGATCATTTTTCGACAACAACAACAACAAAAAAATATCTATTCATATCAACGACCCACTGTATCTTTTTAAAACATATCTTAGTGAAAAACTTTTTTTACTTACAGGTCTACCTTAACTACATAACCAAATATAGTGTGTGTCGACTACAATTGGAAATTACAGCTCTCACTACAAGGTAGCTGATAAAAGTTTAACATAACTTAAAAGTTAAAATAAAACAATTTTGTCATTCTAGAACCAGTTAAAAATTTGTATTTATTGAAATGGCATTGTGTTGAAAGAAAACGTCTTTACAGAGGTAGTTTAATTGCACCAGACATGTACAGACACAAACCACAAAATGCGAAAGAAATCAAAATGTTACAAAAGTTACTCTCCTACCGTGTCAGAGTTCCCTAGCTCTGCCGTGACCAGGATTCGAACCTGGGTTGTCTCGGCCACAACGAGAAGTACTAACCACTATACGATCACGGCTTGAGTGAGAGGTGGTGAAATCGAGCTTTGTTTAATTTAAAATTGCATAAAACTTAAAATTTAAGTGCTAGGACAGGTCAAGCAATGACCCGCGTGAAGAAGAAAGTTGTTGATTTTTTTTATCTTGAATTCTAGTTGGCGCGAAAACGCCAGATAGGATACCTATAAACTTAAATGCACAACTCAACTAAGCTCCTTTTTAGATAGCATATATATATATATATTAAGTACCGTGGTCATTAAAACCTAATATGTTCGCGGTATAGTAACATGTTTTTGTAAGCATAGGCCTACCGTTTTAAGGTTCTGTTTGATTTATGTTGACACGAAACATTCACAACATGCAGGGCATTAATCAAATAATTTTACTTTATATCTCCAAGCAGTTTTTCGGTTCGTACCCCTTACACTTCTCTTTACCGTTCTCGACTTTACTAATACAGCCAGTCTTGTTCATATAGGGGTCAAAATGAGACCAACAGACTAAGTGACGTCACTGGGCTAGCATGATGCTTCAGATTCAGAAATTCAGAAATTCAGAAGAAAAAAAAACATGTTAGATAATGTCGTCATTTGCTTGACGTGACTTACTTCACAGTCTAAATCAACCCTGATGATGACTTTATTGCTTTTGAACAGATTTTAGGCCTCTCAAGGTACGGATTAGTAATGAGGACCCGACACAATCGTCTTTCATTACACTCACGCTTGGCGCGAAGTTGCGCCGAGAGCTACGTATTCTAGCAGACGATCTTAGTTACATACTGCACAGCTCCGTCTGCTCGGGCGCGACCGATACGTTTAATGACAGTGCAACATGACGGGAGTTATGAACATTATAAGCTGACACACATGAGAAGTGAAGCTCAGAGTAAGCGATTGTAGCCTGCCAAATGATCGCTCCGACAAGCAGCTTCCGGGGCTTTCATCAAATAGACTGGTAATAAAAAATTAATGTCTTTGTGCGACGGGCTCAATCAAAATGTCACCGCTCGATATCTATGGACCACTAGTAGGGCGTTATGATTGGAGCTTCTTGAATATACGTCCGAGGTTTAGAAAGCTGTAATGTATATAAACAAATCCATTTGGGAAGATAAAAGAGAAAAATTTGGATTATTGGACAGAGAGAAATTAAAGAGAGAGAGAGTTTCAGTCAAACGATGTTTGAACGAGAAGTTTTCATCAATCTAAAAATGTTAAGGCAAGCACACATGTTTTTCTAATTTGATAAATGATATGCAAAAGGCACACCTACAAATAGATTTAAAAGTCCACTAATGATAAACGTTCTTTATGAAGACATTATCTTCCTTAAAAAGCAAGTAAGCAAGTAAACGTCTCGGTCATCATTGAATCACTCTGTTACGCTACTTATGGCATTTAATACTTAATGATAACAGAGTCTAGATCGGTCAGTTGTCATTGTCTGCTGGTCAACGCAGACACTCCAATTAATAAGCTTAGAATCCTGTAAATGTGCAGCTAAGATCCACTAAACTGTTTTGTACCCTCTACCACAAATAGGTTTTTCACTAGATATTCACTGATACCCCAGGATGTCTCTGGTTATATTCTGTACCTCAATGAAAATGTCCACATAATAATAAATGCGGCCCTGGTAGAGGGTATACCTCTTTAGTGGGCCCTGGTGTACAGTTACACCATAGCGTTCAGAGTGAGCCAGTCGTGTTCACACGACACTTTTTAAAACAAATGATAAATCAAGAAGTTATAACTTCTTGGATAAATAAAGTTGTTTCCATTATATCTTAAAGAGACTATATCTCGACGTGAGGCAATAAAATCGGCTTTGGATTGATTAGGTTTGCGGCTTTTATTGCGATTTTATTCCATTTGTCACATTGCAGCGGTACGTATTATTCACTTTTAATGGCCTGCAAACTCTCAACATTTTATAATTTTTTCTTTTTGTTTCTGATCACCCTCCCATTCTCCAATGCCCTTTCATTTCCAAATCAATTAAAACCTTCAGGTAATATATCTTGGGTATAATTGTACTACAGCGGGGAACATTAGCCTAGGAATACAGTGACTGTACAGACATTTTCGGGTGGTGCTGCATTAAGACAGAAGCAAATCAATCATCTGGCTATTCTCATTGGGTAGTTGTAGTAACTTCTACACTCTCTTAGGTATATTGCTGAAATATTATTAAAAACGTTTAATTTCAATTTTTGGTTGTATCAATGAGATTTACTCAACATTTTCTTTGTTTTTAGACAAAAAATTATTTATTCCACTGGGTCTTAATTTATTAATTTATTTAATTTTAATTAAATTTATTGAGCGTGCACCTGAACTCTGTTGGAGAGAGCGTAATTAAGTCACCTAGGTAAATCAATGTATTTACCTTTGTGTATACAGAGGGACCTCTTCTTATAAGCCGATGAAATCAAAGATTAACTTTAGTCTAAGCCGCAACAGTAGTCAGCAGGGCACGTCGTTCGTCTTTAATCTGGATTGTAACGCGGCAGAATTGATTGACTAAAAAACTGAAAACTGTCGTATACAAGGAGAGGATTTGTTAATGATTGGACAGATTTTCATCGTGGCATTTAGGAACTAACTTTGACAATTAAAATTTCGTTATACGTATCAGGACGAGTGAAAATATAGCAGACACAGCCTTTAATCACCTCACAAAGTGAAAAAAATCATTGCTCTGTGCGGTTATCAACTTGATATTGCTATATTCATACCTTCAAAGTGCACTTTAGAGACTCTCTGCAGTGATCATAGGTTAGGATTTCAGTAGAGGGATTTTCATCGGAACAGTCTTTGTTTCTACGCACTAGATGTCACAGAGAAAAAAACAGCCATTTAAAACGTTGGTCATTAATTGAAAATAATAAAAAAAAAAAAAGGCGACGAAAAACAGCAGCATTTCAGTACAGACGCGGACAGCAAACTTGGTTGCTGAATTTAGGCGGACGGAACTCGACTTGTTCTGGTCGTTAATCAAAATCTACTGTCCTGCAACACAACTACAAGAGGAACGAAACAAATACGTACAACCCGTGATATAGTGCAGGTGATTGAGGTGTAACTAAGTGCGGTGACTGGCAACGCCTAAGTAAAATCCTTAGCTCGTAAGGAAAGATCGCAGTGCAGTTTGAAAAATTGGTATATCTTTACATTTTTACGAAAAAAGAGAGCACTTGAAGAAAATCAGAGAGCGGCAATAACTATTGCAAATTCTTTGTGAAGATATTTGATTGTAAAAGGCTGTGCTCAACTCTATTAACGTCCAATAATGACGACAGTGGCCACAGTATTAGCTCCCGGTCATTTCTACCCTACCAGAAAAGGTGCTGACCATTTGTCTCCAACCTACCAGTCCAGCGTCCTCCATACACCACTGAATACAAGACGTATAACGGCGTGCGACAAAAAGTAAGTTGTATTACTCTACTCTGTTATACATGTATAACAACTCTTAATTATATTACTCTACCTGTGTCGAAAGTTAATACAGTGAAAAATTATTTGACAGCCAATAGAGTTAATTATACGTTCTAATTAAAATAATTGTATCGTCTTCCAACAAACATTGTGTCCATTTTTAGTTTTTTTAATGTTGAAATCTTATTTAGAGTGACTGAATGTATATAAATATATATGGAAATCAATCTAAAGAGTGACACAGAAAATGATACTGAATGTAATTTTCGTTTTGTTGGTCAGTTGGATAAAAAGGGTCCTTCAAAATCATATAATGACTTCATATATAGTTTTTCAACATGCCGAATAAAAAAGTGCTTGAAAACAATTTACGTATATTCCAGTTTAACTTAATAAATCATTACGGTTGCAGACACCTTTTTCAGTCTTGAGCTTTTTACCTCAATGTGGTGTGAGTATTAATGACGCCACAGTTCATACGTATTTTGTTCCTAAATATCAGTGTATTTGTATAAAAAAACGATATTTTTTTTATTTTTATTTCATGATTTAACGCAGTTGCAATTGTACATGGTACCTGAAAGGCATTGAAAAATCTACTTGAATAGAATTAAAATGCTTGATTTATTATTATTTTTTCCAGTTTTGAACGCCATCGATCAACATCAGTATGGGAGCCCAATACCCCTATGGGTATGGGCCGAGAGTACGGCGGCATGGGGCGCGTTAGTCTTCCAGATGAACACAGGCCCAAGTGTGAACCTCCCNAGTCTAAGCCGCAACAGTAGTCAGCAGGGCACGTCGTTCGTCTTTAATCTGGATTGTAACGTGGCAGAATTGATTGACTAAAAAACTGAAAACTCGTATACAGGGAGAGGATTTGTTAATGACTGGACAGTTTTTCATCGTGGCATTTAGGAACTAACTTTGATAATTGAAATTTCGTTATACGTATCAGGACGAGTGAAAATATAGCAGACACAGCCTTTAATCACCTCACAAAGCATTGCTCTGTGCGACTATCAACTTGATATTGCTATATTCATACCTTCAAAGTGCACTTTAGAGACTCTCTGCAGTGATCATAGGTTAGGATTTCAGTAGAGGGATTTTCATCGGAACAGTCTTTGTTTCTACGCACTAGATGTCACAGAGAAAAAAACTGCCATTTAAAACGTTGGTCATTAATTGAAAATAATAAAAAAAAAAGGCGACGAAAAACAGCAGCATTTCAGTACAGACGCGGACAGCAAACTTGGTTGCTGAATTTAGGCGGACGGAACTCGACTTGTTCTGGTCGTTAATCAAAATCTACTGTCCTGCAACACAACTACAAGAGGAACGAAACAAATACGTACAACCTGTGATATAGTGCAGGTGATTGAGGTGTAACTAAGTGCGGTGACTGGCAACGCCTAAGTAAAATCCTTAGCTCGTAAGGAAAGATCGCAGTGCAGTTTGAAAAATTGGTATATCTTTACATTTTTACGAAAAAAGAGAGCACTTGAAGAAAATCAGAGAGCGGCAATAACTATTGCAAATTCTTTGTGAAGATATTTGATTGTAAAAGGCTGTGCTCAACTCTATTAACGTCCAATAATGACGACAGTGGCCACAGTATTAGCTCCCGGTCATTTCTACCCTACCAGAAAAGGTGCTGACCATTTGTCTCCAACCTACCAGTCCAGCGTCCTCCATACACCACTGAATACAAGACGTATAACGGCGTGCGACAAAAAGTAAGTTGTATTACTCTACTCTGTTATACATGTATAACAACTCTTAATTATATTACTCTACCTGTGTCGAAAGTTAATACAGTGAAAAATTATTTGACAGCCAATAGAGTTAATTATACGTTCTAATTAAAATAATTGTATCGTCTTCCAACAAACATTGTGTCCATTTTTAGTTTTTTTAATGTTGAAATCTTATTTAGAGTGACTGAATGTATATAAATATATATGGAAATCAATCTAAAGAGTGACACAGAAAATGATACTGAATGTAATTTTCGTTTTGTTGGTCAGTTGGATAAAAAGGGTCCTTCAAAATCATATAATGACTTCATATATAGTTTTTCAACATGCCGAATAAAAAAGTGCTTGAAAACAATTTACGTATATTCCAGTTTAACTTAATAAATCATTACGGTTGCAGACACCTTTTTCAGTCTTGAGCTTTTTACCTCAATGTGGTGTGAGTATTAATGACGCCACAGTTCATACGTATTTTGTTCCTAAATATCAGTGTATTTGTATAAAAAAACGATATTTTTTGTATTTTTATTTCATGATTTAACGCAGTTGCAATTGTACATGGTACCTGAAAGGCATTGAAAAATCTACTTGAATAGAATTAAAATGCTTGATTTATTATTATTTTTTCCAGTTTTGAACGCCATCGATCAACATCAGTATGGGAGCCCAATACCCCTATGGGTATGGGCCGAGAGTACGGCGGCATGGGGCGCGTTAGTCTTCCAGATGAACACAGGCCCAAGTGTGAACCTCCCCCACTCGTACAGAAGGGACATCAGCACTTTGGCTCGGGGATACACCCATTTCCAAGGTGAGTTAAAGATTCCCAGAAACTAGTAGTTTAAACAAAATTGTTAGATGAAAAAGGCCGAAATTATCATTTTATCGCCAAATAAAATAAAACATCTACCTCAAGGCAACAAAAAGGTCACTGTATCTGGACCTTTTACACGGTTTGAGAAGGGTCCAAAACATACCACACTTTCTGCTTTTCTAAGATCTGTTTTTGTAACCTCTGTATCAAAACAAGGAGTTATAAAGCTTTAACTTTATAGCCGAACAGGTGAAAACACTGCTATCAAAAACAATATTATTTGTCATATAAAAGGGGGGACACTATGATAACTTGAACCGCTTATATTTATTGTGAATCAACATACTCAGTTAATGCTCACATCTTAACAGAAAATGGAGAGTATTTATTTAAAAAGTCATAATAGCATGTTCCCATTATTCTCGGATAAAAATCTGCATTGCTTGATTTAATCAAAATAGTTCAAATAATCAATCTTTTGACCCCACACCATAGTAAAACTTTTCACCAATAAAATCAGGCGGTGCATTGGCGACCCTCCAATCAATACGCTCCGTGCATTCGTTACTTGGGTGTATTATTTACTCTAAATTAGCATGTGAAAACGCGCTTAGTTACCACAACGCTACCAACCGAGATTCACTAGATGTAAACTCTGCTCACAAGGGAGACACACAAACCGGCTCCTAGGCAAGAGCCAAAGACAGTTACTTTTAGGTGACTTTTGCCACCTTCATAGGAGCTCAGAATGACATCGATGAAGTTTTTCCCCAAAGTGGAGGTTATTCCCAGCGTACCTCCAGAATGGGGGACGGGAAAAATGAAAGATGAAGATGAAAACATATGGGCCCCTCGAGGAGCAACCTGGCAATATCGGTGAGCTGTTGTAATGAATGGCCTGTTACTAAGGTGGAGACTGCAGGATTTTATCCAAGTCAGAGTGAATGACACTAATAATTAATTTTACCACTAATTAGGAAAATACATGTAATTAGGATTATGTTTTATCTGTCATCTTAGATATGTGATCAATTTGTCAGCTGAATACAGAATCTGGCAGGCGTTGTAAGAGGCGATTAATGCGTTAATGATATCGTAAAACTGTACGTAGGTATCGTAGAAAACAATCAGACTGATTAAACACATTTTCTGTCTTAATCCATTCGATATTATATCCCCATTTATGACACCACAGGTCATCGATCATGTAGAGCATATTAACGTTATTAGGCATAATGAGACCTATTTGTGTTCTATACTCAGAATTAACACGACTAATATATGTCATTGTCATTGAACTGTTGGCAGTATTTGTGACAGGTGTTATGAGGGTTGGGAGCTTTTAGCCTGTCTTTATCGCTTACATAATCATAAATTTTTGTTATGTGAAAATATTAATGTCTTGAAAGATGTGTGGCCTCGAATAAGACACATATGACTACATTATTATTTTTTTTCAATTATTGTGCAATATTGTATATCTTAATGTTTCAAATGTGCACATATGGTTCTCAGCATGAACAATATCATAATATGATATTTGATTTTTCAACAAATCAACAGAATAACTATCTACAGGCCCGTAGCCAGCAATTTCAAAAGGGGGGTTCTTTTTCTGAAAAAGCGGACTTTTTTCAATAAAAAAATCATGAACTTAGATCAAATTTTACCCAGAGTGGACCTTTTCCCAGCAAAAGGGGCGGTTCTTTCGAACCCTCCGAATCCCCCCTGGCTACGGGCCTGATCTAGCTTTATTACCTCACCTTTATTGTTCAGAATATGCCAAAACAGCACAGTCATAAATTTCCCTGTGCAGTCAGGTCCAAATCATAGAGATTAGATTGTTTACTTTTGGTTAATGTGCATATATCTCTTTTCAGAGGTCTTCCAATTGAACAGTTTTATGACCTGACTAAGATTAAGAAGAGCAATGTCAGGTTGAATGATCAGCTGTAAGTATACACAGTCAGTTATAAAAACATATTTTATACTCAAAAATGCCTCTTACTAGTACATTTGAAAAGTTCTGCATAATGCACAGGTATATATACAAGTCCATTTAACAAGACAGGGCCAAAACTAATCACTGAGCCATGTGCTAAAGTGCATTTTTATTTCAGGGTGCCAAATCCAGAGCACATCAACATTGCCCCACTCATGGTAGACAAGCCATTCCCTGCCGAGCATCCATATACCTCCCACATGTCACGCCATGCTGTATTTCCCAAATTTGATTCCCCAGAGGACAGAACCAGAGGCATATCAGCCAGAAACAGACAACCAATACATGCTGAGATGCCTGCCACCCCTTATGATGTCATAATTGTGCATAAAACTAAAGGTAAGCATTAGTTTAATAAATACACATAATTTTTTCGTGTGTGTGTGTGTGTGGGGGGGAGGGGGGGTAGTCATTACAAATTGCAGTAAATGAAAACTAAATCAAAATGCAATATCCTTAGACATTTTAAATTGCAGTAATTGAAAACTAAATTAAAGTGCAGACAGTTTTGATGGTCAACACTTGTTCTTCACAGTGGCTACAACAGTCAAGTAGAACTGGTTGAGATACTTTAAAGTTGGGACTTTTTATCACTTTGATTTGACATTTCATCCAATAAATTACTTTTAAAATGAAAACTTTTTATAATTTTGATTTTGCATTTTATCAAATAATTTACTTTTAAATTGAGAACTTTTTATGACATATAAAATTTTATTTACTAAATAATTGTGATTCTTACCTTACATAAATTATCTTTGTCTCACTTGAATGAACATGTGGTGTAGTGGGCTACTCCTTTTCTATAAATTGTCCTGATATAATTTAAATTGAGAAATTATGTATTTATTTATTTCCAACATCTCTTATTCAGGCACTGGTGACCGGCATGAGATCCAGGCTCTGCCTCCAGAGGGGTTGAAGAGAGGGCTGACCTGGCATGGAGAAAATGACTTCTACCAGGTAACAGCTATTCTGTTGATCTATTTCAGTACTTGTACCTCTTTGACTTTTTGTTTTTGACTAAACATGGGCCTGTAGGGAGAGGGTTGGAGGGGGAGAGAAGGGAACCACCCTTTTCCTGAAAGAGATCCACTCTGAATCCAAATTAGAGTTAGGTTCGATGCTGTTCCTGCATCTGGATTAACTGAAGGGGGATAGATGGGATATGCCTAGTTTAAAGGTTTGCTAAGATCTCATTTGTTATAAAAGAAAAATCTTATTTCAGGAGCCTAAAGTCCATGGACACAAACCGCCATATTATCCAATTCCTCCTAAAGTGGTGGTACCAAACTTAAAGCAGCGTTCCCCAGAGCAGACGCTCTCCCCCGCCACGGCTAATGCACTGCGTAATGTGGAGCGTGAGCAATGGCAGACCACCTACCAGCAGAATCACACTGGTGCGTACCTTCTTCTGTGGTTTATTTCATTTTTTTGTGATTGTTATCCAAAAATATATTTTAGTTTTTACTCACAAGATATGATATTTTTTAAAGGAAAATGTTTTGTTTGCAGTCAGTAACTTTTCGCGTTTTTTTTTTTTTAGAAAGTAAATTATTATACTTCTATTACCTATTCTATAATTGAAATTGATCATATAATTCAGAAGATTAATATTGCTATGAAATTCTTGTTCACAATCACTTGACTGTGCAAAAGTATAGAAGGCTAATTTAAAAATGATTGTTTAAGAGACCCTGTGCATAAACCTTTACTGGCTTAAAGCAGAATTTAAACACTTATTGAACAAATTTATAAATTATACTGCCACAGTCTCAGTTTTACTGGCCTTTGGTGTTAGCATTGCAGACTTATAAAACTTGCCCTATTTTCCTTGCAGGCCTAGGTCCTACCAACCCTATGAACTTGGACAACATGGGTGAGAAAATAGAGGGATACAATAGCACTGGGTATATAGACGATGATCTGGTAAGAGTTAGTTTTATTACGACATGTTTTCAGAAAAGAAATGAATCTGTAATCTGCTCTTGTTGACATTTATTGTATATGTTCCATTTATTCTGTAGTGTCTTTTATATATATATATTGAGTGGCACACTATTGCAGCAGCAGTGGTGCATTTGGTTGCAAAATGTATCTATCTTGAAAAATCAGTATAGAAATGTATTTAGTTAAAAGAATATCACATATATTTCCACCTGCAACGTAATTTGTATGATGTTTGAAAAAGTTTGTGTAATAAGAAACAGAAAAAACAAAAGTCTCAGCCAGTTTTTCTAAAATAATTTGAAATAAAAAATGGAAGTATATAGCAGAATTACAAAAAAGAATCCAAAGGTAATGTGGAATTTATGATGTGATTATTTGTGATTTTTTGTTAGCATGTTTAATATTTGTCCATTAATTCAATTTCAGAAACCTCGTTCGATCCGTACTTTCGATCCTCCTCGTCCTTTTGAAGGTCGCCTAGCCAGATCCTTTACTGCCAAACCTAAGCCACAGGCGCCTATGGCTCCAAGCCAGTCTAACTATAAAAGGTTTGTTTATTGTAATTTCTCTGAGGAAAATGATGTTTGTGTTTGATTATATAGTATTTTTCAACATCACAATGGTCTGTCCCTTGTAGTAATAAGGCAAATAACTTTGATCAGGACAAGAGAAAGCATTGCTTTGTAATATTAGACCAATATTAAATGAGTGAAACTTGCCAATAAAAAAAATTTATTTTTATCTGAAGAAATGAAAAATACACTATTTTATGTTACTATTCATCTATAGAACTTGAGTTTGATAAAAAAATACTTTACTGAAAATTGTAAAGCTGATAAACATAACACAATTGGCAACTTCAACAGAAAGGTGATACTTGCACAGATGTGATGAAAGCGGATATCCACAAATTGAAAAAAATTTTACCTGCTGGAGTAATGATGTCATATGAAAAAATGACTTTGATGACAGATAAAGTGCGATTGCTTTGTGGTTAAGATCATCCACAAAATGCACAACTGCTCTCAGTAATGGAATTTAATTATTTCTAGGAAACCAACATTGACCGAGAGAGAAGAAGACCGGTTGCTCTACGGTAAAGAATATGTGAATTTGCCTGAACGCAAATACCAAGATACAACAGGCAAACTCAAACATGAGGATGCACAGTGGAAACTGATGAATGACACTTTCCACCCAGACCCTCAGCTACAGGTATCAGATAGAGAATGAAAACATTTTAGCCTACGATAATGAATTAAAAACAAATAGATAAATAAATAATTAAATAAACAAAAAAGCTTGTATAAGCAGGCAAGGAAACTGATAAATAAATAAATAAATAAATAAATAAATAAATAAATAAATGGATTACTGAGTGAGCAGAGAAATGAGAAAACATACATCAAACAAGCAGAGAAATGAATAAATTTAAACACATAAAACAAACTTGGTCAACAAATAAATAAATCTACTTTTTCTTCAGACTTTGGAAGATGCTCAAGGTAAACAAGAAGCAGTTGAACTACCATATCACCCAACAGGAGCTCCCCCCAAGGAAAAACCTGGTTCCTACTTAGACTCTCTGCGAAAGAAACAGCACGATGAGCACCAACAGGTGGAGGCACAGAATCGCTGGAAGCTTTTAGAATCTATGAAGCCAGAACACGACATAACTCAGCTCAATCACAAATTGGAAAAGGCAGATACTACAGACCACCCTCCAGTCTTCTACAAACATGAGGGGAAATTCAATGCAGAGAGGGCAGGCCTGTACAAGACAAGCTACAAGCCAGAGATCCTCGAGTACCAGATGAATAAAGAGGAGCTGAGTGGACCAGAGCTTCTTGATACCAGGGAGTCCCACAAGGGGGCACTGCATCTGACAACCCCCTTGAATGGAGAAATGGATGTAATTTTACAAAAATCGCGGACCCAGGTGACAAAGGTTCCTATGTTTAGTGATCGCCCTGATGCAAGAGATGTCATAGAACCCTATCAATACAACGTGGAGGTACAAAGACGCTACCTTCACCCAAATCAGAATACTGCCGATGTCAAGGTACAGGAGAATGGCATCATAAACAGAGAAAGTGAAACAGGCACACAGTACAACACCCACAAATTTCTGGAGGAACACGAAATCCCCCCTTTTGCACGTAATGAACCATTCCAAGTGATGTCCAAGGAAAATAAAAAACTGAGTAATGTGAAACCATACACTTATCCAAAATCTCCAGGTAAAAGTGTCCAGTTTTCTGATAATGTGATGGTTGCTTCAGGAGCTGGTGCAGAGCCTTTGAAACTCAGCAGTGCACGTCTGTCACCAACTGGTGAATTCACTATGACAACAGAGGAGGATCAGTATCCGTGGCAACCAGCCAGGCCAACATCATCCAATCCCACTCAGTATTCCAGTGCCCATGCTCAGTATTCACCAAGTAATGATACAAACAAGACACAAATGAAGCAGCCTGATAGTACACCAGCAATGTTTGACACTAGTTTCACAAGTAACCAACCCTTTTTTGAAGCAGCATGGGAATCAGAGACGGGGGCGAAACATGGAATGTCTAAAAAATCTCGAGACCCAGTTCAAGTCCAAGACCAATTTGCGTCATTGTCAACAAATGTAGCACCTGCTGGAATTCAGAACACCTTTGCCTACAAAACTTCATATGAAAACCAATTCCCTGTGTACAGTGACTTGAGTTATAAGAAAGATAAAATGTTTGATTGGAAATATAGTTCCAAGCTACCTAGGCAACAAACCAAACTTTTAAAGATTCAGGACAGTTTTTCCAAAACAGAGGCCATGAGGAAATTTTATAATAAGTTCCAGGAAAACAATCCTGATCTTAGAGAAAATATATATCGTGGTAAGACCCATGAATTTGGAGGGATGAATGGCCAGCTCATACATGGTTAATCAAATCATGTTTCTGTTCATTTTAAGATTTGTTTACAATATATGACTGGACTTAACAAGTATACCAGATTGAAAATAATGTTCTTTTTAGGAAGAATGAGAAAAAAGAATCAGTAAACATGTAACAGGGTATACATTAAGGCATTTTTAGGTCTCAAATTTGCTCATTAAGTGGAGGAAAATATGCAGTGATAGCCAAAATCGAAACAAAATGTTTGCTCAATTCAAAAACCTGTGATGTATTATAGTATAGGTCTGTAGACAACAGCTGAATGCTATACACTTAAAACTCAGTATTTGATATGCTCAAACTGGATTAGACAGATCTGATGGGCAAAGGTAGTAAACATCAAGGTTTTTATTTATAGACAGTACCTCATGATCAGTAATCTGGTAGGAGCTTGCCATTTAGGTTGAGATGGGCAAATAGAATGAAGAATAAATGTAGAATGAATTATGTGAGGTAAATCTTGGTACTGTATAGAAGAAGATAGATCTACTGTTTAAACAAACCAAGAAAAAAGCCATGACAAAGATATTGCTCAACACAGCATGCTCATTGGTCAATTGAAGGAAAAGGTTGTGATATTTGTAAGAGTACAGCTCATTGAGCAATAAGATACAGTAAAGGGAGCTTGAATAAGACCCAAAAATTGCAGATGTGAATCTGTCTAGAAATGCTAACAAGTTTGCTATATTTCTGACATTTTATGCGAGAATACAAAAACTGTCATTTTCTCAGCTTGGAGCAGTAGTCATAAAAGCTCAGGACAATCAAAATTGCTGTCACTGAATAATGAGCAATACTGCACAGTAAAGTGAGATTGTGAATTTGACATTTTGATCTGCAACATCACCAGAAACTACACAGATATTCTTTATATATATATAAAGCTGTTTACTGTCTTTGCAATTATTGATGAAAAATCAAATGTGTTAAGTAGTGCATTTTTGAAAGAAATACATCAAAAGCTCATTTAATGTGATCCAGTATTCACAATATATATAAACCTGTAACTTTGTACATAGAATATTTTTTGGAAAATGTTGTCTTGCCATTGTTTATAATGGATAACTTTTTTTTTCCTTTGTGAGCCACATTTATATTTCACATGAAATGTTCACTTTATGTCTTGTTAAAGCAGCTGCAGTGTGTCATAACTGGAGAGAAAATTGTGGTATAAATGATACAACACACAACAGTATAAGCCCATTACACAATATTAATTGCAGCTTATGGAAGAAATTTTGTCACCTTTTAAATTTGTCAACAAATTCACTTTCAATTGCATCATTTACACTTTTGCCTTATAAGATTATCTTTATTATCACAAGAAGTTAAAATCAATTATCACCAGAGTACTTAAAATGTGTAATTTACGCCCAGTTGTTGTATTATAATATCTATCAGCATTTCATACTCCACTTTTGACATGCTGTTTTATTGATTGGGTTGTAAAAAATATAGTAGCCTAAAAAGCGAAAATCATTGCTATCTCCTCAATCTGTAGGATGTTTACGCCAGTGGGAAAATCGTTAATTCTCTAATGCAATCATTTCATTTGCTTCATCTGTGACATAAACTTATGAAATATTTATCTTTTCATTTATCTTCTAATCTGGATGTGTACTCTATCAAATTTGCTTCACTTGGACAAATTCATTGCAGTGTAGTTATGATTCAATTATCTACTTTGTGATGTTATTTATGACGGCCATCTGTTGTTGTTTTGTTCCATTTCTCTCCTTATACCAATATTTCATACTTATTATATTGGATGAGTGAATAAAGATTTTAATTTATTAAGTCTTTTATCGTTATGCAGGATTTCATTACAAAAACAATTTTAGCCTTCTAAATAAATTACAGCTTTTAGTAAAAATGTGCCAACCACTACAGTTTTAAGCAATCCAAGCCAAGATTTTCAATGCTTTTTTAAGTGCATTAATCGCTTCTCGTTGAAACTCATCTTAGAACAACCAATGCTATTAAAACATATTGACAGATAATGATCTTATTCAATGTCACAAAAATCATGTTGACCATCCAGTCTATCCTTGGTAGTTGGCCGTCTTGACAGTTTGAAAATAACGCCGGTTCACTGGCAGCATACACTAGTTATAACTAGATCACTGCACAAGTCTCATTACATCCAAGACTTGAGTCAAGGAATTTTGTTTTTCAATAATCTGTGCTTTAGTGCGGGTTTTAGTTTTTCTTTTCCAAAATTGCTAGAGTTGAAAATTAGTGAGTGCCAGAAAAGGACGACTGAAGGTTTGTAAACTGTTGGAAAATTCATTAAATAAGATCCTGTCTTTGAATGCTTTAATTTTTTTCTGACAATATCCCATATACAAAGATATAGATTTTTAAAGAAAAATCCATTACTATTTTCAAAATTAGCTATGAAACTTTTTGGAAGAAACAGAATTTCATATGAAATTTCAAAGATTGATAGTTCATAAGATTCAACTTTAGATAGCTTTTCCTTTCTTTCATTTTAAGACAAAAACAGTTGTTTTCTTAATAAATGCAATATTTTATATTGATAAAAAAAGATTTGATTATATACCAAACAAACATGCTTTTATCTCACATATTCAAAAAGAAAAAAATCTTTAAAAGAAAAATAGTAAGATCATTTCTTATAAGGTTGAAATTCCTCACAATTTTTCAAACTCTCTACGAATATCATAAAAACAGCTTTATGGCAATAAAAGAAAACTATGCTCATCTTTTTTCCAACTCTTCCGGTAATTTGCTGTTCATGAATGATGGAATTGCAGATCACAATAAATTTAAAATCATCTTTCAATATGAAAAACTTTGCAATGTTACAGAGATAACTGGGCCTCTCTCATATTCCCTCAAACTTTTTAACCTACCATTATTATCAAGCCTTAAAGACTTTACAGGTATCTGGTGCTCATAAACAACAAAAAACACAGATTTCAGGAAATAATGAGGGCTCGTGTAAAACCACTGAAATAAGGGAAAGAAAGAAAGAAAATTTGGGTTAAATTCTGTGAATTATTTTCAAAATCCAGAGCATGGTGCATTGCATTTAAGTGTTGATCTAGTGGCATTAACACAAGGATTAGCTATGCCATTAAAAAGTCAAACTCATCACTGCAATTCCAATTCTATAAAAAGAGCAAAGACATATTTCTCCATGTGTCTTTTCCCAAAAAAAGATTTTTTCTATAGATCAGGAATTTTCAGATTAAAAATTATTACGATGATCAGACCATTTTCTCTTCTCATATATATGTATTAAAATAATCCTCATATCCTTTCCTAATTGCTTTTCCACGGAGAAAGGACAAGTGATATGATTAATGATATGATACAATATGAATTACTATGTAGACTCTGTAAAATCAAATGCCTCTTTTATACAGCTTCACCATGGCAGTAACTTGACCTAATTACAAATAACTTGAAATTAATTACAAATTAAGTTTGGATTTAATTACATAGTGCCTTAATACTAAAATCTATTGCCTAGTCTACAGTCTACTTACTATACCCTATAATAACAACCTGAGAGTAAGAAAAAATGCAAAATTTAATAATGTATTTATAATATGTACAAAAAAAATCCAGGTAAAAGTACTTTATGATATGTGATAGACAGATATTTCTTTATCATCTGTTTTATATATTCTGCCTACGCTTTGTGATCGTGTGATGTCACATTAACTAAATTAGTTGATTTTACCATAAAAGCAACATGATAGTAAACCACAGGGTGGAACAAAAGAAGTGCTTAAACTTTTCTGCCATGCATAATAAAATACCACTTACAACAGACATTCAATAAAGAGTTTCCGGATAATCAAAATTGAACAATCTTTCATTAATTTGACAACTGGTCAAGTGTCATGGCTATGACGAATACAAGGATTGGAAGACACATTTCTGGAACTAATATTAAATCATCGTTTAATAGAATGTGCTAAAGAACCAAATCCATTCCTCCTTTAGCTCCTAAAGTAGGTAATCGTTTTTAATATGCATGCTACACAAATAAATAACTTCAATTATCAAATAACCACAAGAACTGAAACAAATACAATTTTAAGGCAAATCTTCATTCATAGGAGTGCATATTGATTTACCAGACAAAGGGCCATCTTACACATTCTGACAGGCACATACTAAAAAATCAAAACCATTTATGGAATCTGATCAGAAGGCATGCATTCTTAAATTTGATAGGCACTTGAATTTGCTAAAAAAATAAACTGAACTGCAATAATTAATAAAATACTGCATCACAATTAACCTTCAAGCATAGTAGATTTAGAGACCTCGTCTTCATCCAGTTCTGAGACAACACAAATTTGCATAGAATTCCCGAGACAAGTTTAAAACTTTCCATNCAGGTATCTGGTGCTCATAAACAACAAAACAGATTTCAGGAAATAATGAGGGCTCGTGTAAAACCACTGAAATAAGGGAAAGAAAGAAAGAAAATTTGGGTTAAATTCTGTGAATTATTTTCAAAATCCAGAGCATGGTGCATTGCATTTAAGTGTTGATCTAGTGGCATTAACACATAAGAATTAGCTATGCCATTAAAAAGTCAAACTCATCACTGCAATTCCAATTCTATAAAAAGAGCAAAGACATATTTCTCCATGTGTCTTTTCCCAAAAAAAGATTTTTTTCCATAGATCAGGAATTTTCAGATTAAAAATTATTACGATGATCAGACCATTTTCTCTTCTCATATATATGTATTAAAATAATCCTCATATCCTTTCCTAATTGCTTTTCCACGGAGAAAGGACAAGTGATATGATTAATGATATGATACAATATGAATTACTATGTAGACTCTGTAAAATCAAATGCCTCTTTTATACAGCTTCACCATGGCAGTAACTTGACCTAATTACAAATAACTTGAAATTAATTACAAATTAAAAATTTAAGTTTGGATTTAATTACATAGTGCCTTAATACTAAAATCTATTGCCTAGTCTACAGTCTACTTACTATACCCTATAATGACAACCTGAGAGTAAGAAAAAATGCAAAATTTAATAATGTATTTATAATATGTACAAAAAAAATCCAGGTAAAAGTACTTTATGATATGTGATAGACAGATATTTCTTTATCGTCTGTTTTATATATTCTGCCTATGCTTTGTGATCGTGTGATGTCACATTAACTAAATTAGTTGATTTTACCATAAAAGCAACATGATAGTAAACCACAGGGTGGAACAAAAGAAGTGCTTAAACTTTTCTGCCATGCATAATAAAATACCACTTACAACAGACATTCAATAAAGAGTTTCCAGATAATCAAAATTGAACAATCTTTCATTAATTTGACAACTGGTCAAGTGTCATGGCTATGACGAAAACAAGGATTGGAAGACACATTTCTGGAACTAATATTAAATCATCATTTAATAGAATGTGCTAAAGAACCAAATCCATTCCTCCTTTAGCTCCTAAAGTAGGTAATCGTTTTTAATATGCATGCTAACACAAATAAATAACTTCAACTATCAAATAACCACAAGAACTGAAACAAATACCATTTTAAGGCAAATCTTCATTCATAGGAGTGCATATTGATTTACCAGACAAGGGCTATCTTACACATGCTGACAGGCACATACTAAAAAATCAAAACCATATATGGAATCTGATCAAAAGGCATGCATTCTTAAATTTGATAGGCACTTGAAATTTGCTAAAAAATAAACTGAACTGCAATAATTAATCAAATACTGCATCACAATTAACCTTCAAGCATAGTATATTTAGAGACCTTGTGACCATTCACATGAAAAATCTATTTTCTAAAAATCTATTTGCTGTATCTTGTGATCACGGTCTGTGCCCTGAATACCCCGCGACGTAATTACTGGCAGCGCCGAGAATTAATTACAGCTTTGGAAGTAACTGACTCGCGCTGCCTGTAATTACGCCGTGGGGTATTCAGGGCACAGACCGTGATCACAAGATACCGCAAATAGATTTTTAGAAAATAAATTTTTCATGTGAACGGTCCCCTTGTCTTCATCCAGTTCTGAGACAACACAAATTTGCATAGAATTCTCGAGACAAGTTAAAAAACCTTTCCATTCAGGGGGGAAGGGGGAACAAGATCCTTTAAACAATCCAATGGAAAAAGGAGGGATAATCCTTATGGCACTTTTCTTTCGATCTTAAAATATAAGAACAATTCCTAAATATATATATATCTGTGTATGTATCTTTATGTCTAATTTAAAAACTTATGATTTCAAAACTAAATTTTCTCTTTTTCCTTCAAAGAAGGGATTTGAAAATAGGAAAACACTGATAAAAAGATCTGTTGATTATTTACTTTCATTCCAGTCATTTGTGACCCTAAGAACATACTTTCTCTTCATGCCTTGCACAATAAGAATATAGATATATCTGCCTAAAATAATAAAATAGTAACTGGGACATCTTAACTTATATCATCACTCATACAGAAATATAGCCCACTCTTCCTTCAAATTCTATCAAGATGACTTCTGTGCCTGCTGTGCCTGAAAATTTGCTGCAGTTGCACTAGGGGGGGCGCCATGCTTGTTTTCCTGTGTACCAGCCTGGGCTGCAGCTTGCGCCGCGGCAGCAGCCGCTTTTTGTTGTTGCTGTTGATTCCACTTAGGTAAAATTCTCCGCCTAGCATTAACAAACCAGTAATTGATCTGGTTGATTGTCAGGCGTGTTTTACGCACTAACATGTCTTTTTCCTCATCCGTTGGGTAAGGCTTGTGCTGATGCTCTCTTAGCCACTCTAACATTATATTAACAGCCTGGAAGAAAATACACCTTGTTGAAATCTTATGTTATGAAGATCTTCAATGAAGAGATATACTAATACATAAACATTAAATGATCTGTTGGGTCAGTTTGTGACAATCATTTCATAATTTGACTAAAAACAGGACCTACAGTAACAAACATTTTTTCTCTGAAATTTCTTGCATTTACATTAGTTTTATACCAAAGCAAAGAATAAAACCTGTGAAAAGTGGACCATGATTTTCTATAAAGTTTCTGACCTCTTTTGGAAGCACTGGATGCTTCCGGACAGTCGTTCCAGAATTTGAGACACCAGATGAAGTGGCTCCCTCTGTCATTTCTTTCTTCAGATGGCCACTGTGGGCTGCAGCTTCTAGACCATGCTGAGTGGAATCCACAAGAGGCAGGCAAACTGGGTTTCCATCTTTGTCCTAGTAGACAGTATACACTCTTAAATCACAACTCTCTGGTGCTCATTTCTGACAACAATTTATTTATAACAAACAAGCATGTAAAACGAAGAATACCATTCATGTCACCTCAAAATTTTCATAAAGATCAGAGTCACACTTAATTACTCAAATTTGTTTATCCATCCATCCACTAACACACAGGAATGCATGCGCACGTTTGCACGCACCTTGCCCATGGTATCCCTGACAGATTGGTCAAACTTATTGCAAAATTCTTCAATGGCAGTGAGTGGACGACTCTTTTTCAACCGCTCATCTTCTTCCTTCCTCTTCTGGATTTTTTCTGAAATTTTGAAGATTTTACACAATGAGCATGAAAATAAAACTGGCAACCTATAAATAAATTTTCCTGTTCTATTTAGACTGTATCACTTTTACAGATTGCTCTTGCAGAATTTCCTTCTACACTGATATGTACTGATGGTGTTATATATATTCAACCAACTTAAAAGTCCTCGTACATAATTGTATTGTAATTCACTCAAAATTTGCTCTAAGGATATGCTGACTAGGTTGAAAGCCAAGTGTGTTCAATTTAACTTCTTTAAATACCAATGGTATTTGGTGACAGGCTGACATGTGTCAGATGGGACTTACCTATGAGAGAGCTGTGAGCATATCTGAGAGCATCCATCAACACACTGTCCACTGCATTGTTACTTTGATATTGTCCACTAGGTGGCGTTCTCTGTATATAATTCTGTAACAGCCTATCAAACTCCACAGGCAGGCTAGATATGAGTTGATATGGAAACGTGGGATTGTCAAAGTTCATGTCTGCTATGATAAGATCCCGTAACAATGGGAAGAGTGGGTGGGAGCGGAAGGCACTAGATTTATCATTTACGATTCGTTGCATGAAGCCATGTTGTGCTGGCGTACTATGCGGCAGATTTGGAAATTGCTGCGCTGCCATATCATGAGGTCCCATCATCTGATGTTGTTGTTGTGGCGGCGGCGGTCCCTGGCGATGGGAATCTCTGTAACTTGTAAAACTGGGACTACTGAACTGGTCTTCCATGTTATTATTTTGAGAGTCACGATACCCCATGAAACTGGCGCTCTGGAACTGCTCTGGGATAGTAACACTCAGACCCTGCTGCATATGAGCAGGTACCCCTCCATTCTGAGAACCAGGGTATCCTTGAATTGAGTTACCTGAACCTTGTGACCCAGGGTACCCCTGAAGGGTGCCAGCTCCTGCCTGTGGTCCGGCATGGTACCCTTGCTGGGTACCAACACCATTTTGTGACCCAAGATATCCCTGTGGAACATTCACCTGTGACGCCTGGTAACCCTGGGGATTCCCTGCAACACTTTGTGGAGCCGCAGGGTACCCTTGTGGAACAGCGCCACTTCCATTTTGTGAGGCAGGGTAACCTTGAGGGGTATGGTACCCTTGATGGGGCATGCCACCAGTACCCTGTGGACCATGGTGATGTTGGTACCCTTGAGACGGTGGTGGTGGTGGTACCGCCCCAGCTCCCTGTGCCCGCACTGTAGAGTTGTTACTGTTATACTGTCCTGCTGGGATTAAGGGAGGAACCTGATTTAAATGTCTCTGTTGTTGTTGATATGGGGCTTGCATCTGGTGGCCCTGTCCCTGCATGGCAGGAGAGGCCATATTGAGATTCGAAGCACAGGCCAAGTTTTGCCTGTTTTGATATCCAGTCATATCCTGCTCCATGTTGTAGCCACTCTGCTGCTGGGTGTTAGTGTCAGCAGCACCCCAGTNTATAAATAAATTTTCCCCCGTTTTATTTAGACTGTATCACTTTTACAGATTACTCTTGTAGAATTTCCTTCTACACTGATATGTACTGATGGTGTTATATATATTCAACCAACTTATAAGTCCTCGTACATAATTGTATTGTAATTCACTCAAAATTTGCTCTAAGGATATGCTGACTAGGTTGAAAGCCAAGTGTGTTCAATTTAACTTCTTTAAATACCAATGGTATTTGGTGACAGGCTGACATGTGTCAGATGGGACTTACCTATGAGAGAGCTGTGAGCATATCTGAGAGCATCCATCAACACACTGTCCACTGCATTGTTACTCTGATATTGTCCACTAGGTGGCGTTCTCTGTATATAATTCTGTAACAGCCTATCAAACTCCACAGGCAGGCTAGATATGAGTTGATATGGAAACGTGGGATTGTCAAAGTTCATGTCTGCTATGATAAGATCCCGTAACAATGGGAAGAGTGGGTGGGAGCGGAAGGCACTAGATTTATCATTCACGATTCGTTGCATGAAGCCATGTTGTGCTGGCGTACTATGCGGCAGATTTGGAAATTGCTGCGCTGCCATATCATGAGGTCCCATCATCTGATGTTGTTGTTGTGGCGGCGGCGGTCCCTGGCGATGGGAATCTCTGTAACTTGTAAAACTGGGACTACTGAACTGGTCTTCCATGTTATTATTTTGAGAGTCACGATACCCCATGAAACTGGCGCTCTGGAACTGCTCTGGGATAGTAACACTCAGACCCTGCTGCATATGAGCAGGTACCCCTCCATTCTGAGAACCAGGGTATCCTTGAATTGAGTTACCTGAACCTTGTGACCCAGGGTACCCCTGAAGGGTGCCAGCTCCTGCCTGTGGTCCGGCATGGTACCCTTGCTGGGTACCAACACCATTTTGTGACCCAAGATATCCCTGTGGAACATTCACCTGTGACGCCTGGTAACCCTGGGGATTCCCTGCAACACTTTGTGGAGCCGCAGGGTACCCTTGTGGAACAGCGCCACTTCCATTTTGTGAGGCAGGGTAACCTTGAGGGGTATGGTACCCTTGATGGGGCATGCCACCAGTACCCTGTGGACCATGGTGATGTTGGTACCCTTGAGACGGTGGTGGTGGTGGTGGTACCGCCCCAGCTCCCTGTGCCCGCACTGTAGAGTTGTTACTGTTATACTGTCCTGCTGGGATTAAGGGAGGAACCTGATTTAAATGTCTCTGCTGTTGTTGTTGTTGATATGGGGCTTGCATCTGGTGGCCCTGTCCCTGCATGGCAGGAGAGGCCATATTGAGATTCGAAGCACAGGCCAAGTTTTGCCTGTTTTGATATCCAGTCATATCCTGCTCCATGTTGTAGCCACTCTGCTGCTGGGTGTTAGTGTCAGCAGCACCCCAGTGCACAGTCTTTGCATTTTGTTTAATTTTCTGCTGTTGTATGTTATAGGGGGTGCTACCTGCCATGCCAGGGTGCTGCGTCTCTCCCCTGGGGTACTGCTCTCCCTGGGGAACGCCCAGTTTTCCAGCCAGCCCAGTGGCAATCTGAAACTCTAAGGTTCCATCAAAAGTCATCTTATCGTAACTCAACGATGACCTCCTTCCATTACCGTTCTGGCCATACATACTGTTTGGCTGGGCAAGAGGGGGAGGGGTGGTAGAATACGGCGTGTACTCAGCTCTGGATGACTTGGGCATCATTTTATGATGATGTTTACCAGGATATACGCCACCTTGGGGGGCATACCCAGGGGGTTTAACATCACCAGTATACCCAGGGTCCTGATTAGCAGGGTTACCAGATACAAATGGCTGCGACGTCTTCTCTGGTAAATCCAAAAACTGTGATGTTGATAATGACTGCGGCGTGGAGGTCATTACATTGTACACTTGCCCGCCAGGAGACATCGGTGGAATGTTCTGTTGTTGTGGCTGCATCTTGGTTGCAGAATATGGCGGAGGAGGGACTGCCTTTTGCGATGGAATCAGATTAGGAGGTGGCATCATCTGCTGATCTCTAGTGGGTGTGTGCACACGACACTGGTGACTGCCGTGATATGTGGGACTTTCACACGAACACTGAGAAGCCAAGGAGCTCTTTGAGCCAGCAGTTGCATGAGCACATGATGACCTATTCTCCATGCAACTACTACTACCAGAAGAGTACGAACTACCAGGATGCCCCCTACTGGAGACGGTATGTAAGCTCTCCATACTCCCGTAATGATTTGAGAATGTCACAGCAGATGAGCAACGACTGCTCATGCTGTTTAAGTCACATGATGAATAGCCATGATCTGACTGGGTCTCCACCCCTGTTTTAATGCTGTCCATGCTCCGACTGTGCTTCCCTGGGGAAAAAGGTTCTGATTTCACGGAGGAACCCATACAAGAACTAGGCGGTCTTGGGGATGATTGTGCTCCTGTTCCTACTGGATATTGCGGGGGTGGAAATCCTCCTTGATTTCCTCTGTTTTGATTGGACGGTACAATCCCCTGACGTTGTTGTGAATATTGCTGTTGCTGTTGCATACATGATGACAAAGCATTGGGATGACCTTGACCTTGGCCACAGGCTGACCTCAAAGTGGAGCCATATGTCCCAAATGGACCTTTACTTGAACTCTGACTTTGCGAAAACTGATTACTTGATGCCCCAAAAATGTTCCCCATACCCTGGTTACTTTGTTTTGTAGAAGGGGCAATATCTGAACTTGCCATCTGATCACCACCAAGAGCAAATGAAAATTCATCTTGGATAAAATCCATCTCTATATCAGCAAAGTCCAGTTCCATGCTGTCTTTGATGCCCATGTCACTGCAGATCTCATCCAAAAGCTCATTGTGAATGCGTTCATTGCGACCAAAGAACTCGTTAGAAGATCTCCTCTGCCGTTGGTGATGTTGTTTTGTCTGCATGTGCTGCGTGCCTGCAGGTTGCGGTGACTGCACATGTTGCTCTGTGGGATCCTGTGTGGACGCAGGTGTCGTAGGAGTGAGGATATTTTCATACACTGTGGTAACACTGGAGGTGCTGGGACTGGCCACTGCATCCCTGTACTGCATATCCTGAAATAAAAAACATACAGAGATACAGGGCTGATATAACACATAGATATAATACCATTTTCTTAAAATAAACTTTGTTCTAGGGATAACATCAAATCTTTTGACCGTAGGAGAAAAAAAAGGAAATTTAGTACATAGCTTCTTATTTAAAAATCTGCAGTCTGCACTGCAATCATTTTAGCCTTCTGACCATTCAGGACATACTGAGGACATACTAGCCCAATGCACAGACAGAAACAGTGCCCAGAAACTGAACAGTTTTACAAAATTTTACTGGGATGGCTTCTACGTTTTGACTTTGATATGTAGCCCTGGGAGCTGGTGATTACATGCCAGACTACAGACAGATTGTCAAATTAACAACAATCACTTACAGCTGCCACAAATCTGTCCATCACTTCCTTCTTGATGTTTTCTTCCTCCAGGGGTGAACTCTCCCCAGGGCTGGTGCGTGAGCCGCCACTGTCAGCCATCTTGATTTCTGCGGGTGAGGGGTTACTACTGTTACTAGCACTGTCAGCTTCACTCATTCTTCATGTACCTGGAATGAGAAAACGTGGAGATTCAACAGCTTAAATGAAGAAAAGTTTCACAATTTCTTTCCTCATTAACATGGTGTAAATTAACGCACACATTGTTAAATTAAATCAAGTCACACCTTCAAGTAAAAACTGCCTACACATTCTGAGGACATGCCTATTTCAAAGCCATTTGAAGTAATATCATTCTTAGTGTTCAAAACCCTACGTCAGAGCTGTCTGACACCTGCCTACAACAATCTGTCCCACCAAAAAGCCACTGCATTTGAACTGCACACCATTAACACTTTCCAGACAAAACACAAGCTTCCAAATGACTTCAGATCCTACAGCAGTTACATACCTTTAATCAGCTCCCTTGTTTCAAACACCCAGTATTAAGATAAATATATTTAAACCGGACACAAATTATGAACTCTCTTCTGTACCCTGGCAGTCACAGGGGCCAAGGTTTACTGGGACAACTGATGCTTTAGCAGACTGTGCCAAATAAAAGACAGATTGGCAATAAAATGTATATTTTCTCCCAACTTCTTCCTTGGCCACTGGCACTTAACACAAAGAGCCAGTGTTGGTCTGTCTGGACAAAATTTCCAGACATCTGTTCAATTTGCCTCCTCGGATGACCTGTTTTCACAGAAAAATTCTCAAAACTCACCTAATTAAATGAAATAACATTGATCTCTCTCCTAGTTTCTACTTGTAACTGATATACAAAAATTCCCTGGTAGTCACAATGATTATACAAAGATGACAATATTTCCAGTCAAAGCTCTTTGACACTTTTAGTGAGTGGAGAACTCCACAGCTCTAGAACTCCAACATCAGACTCCAACATTCCGGGTGCTAACAGGAGACGTATTGCCCCTCAGGGGCTGGTATCAGTTTAACATCCAATTCAATCTATTACATTCAATTATACGTTCAATTGCCATCTGTATGGTAAATGAAACCTCACTAGGCAGCTGTTATTATTGACACTGATCATAAATCTCCATTTTACTATGATATAGTAGATCCAGTCTCTGGTGCAGGCTGAGGACGGAATTCTCCACTGATCTTAATCCTTGTCTCAAATTTGTCTGAAGCATGGTTTTGAAAAGTTTAATTTTGATTTGTTTAATTATTTGAAATAAAACTAACATGCAAACAAAAACAGCTGAATCAACTTTGGCTGAATCAAATTGACCAAAAAAAAAATCAGCCATATTTTTTTTTTAGTTCTGGTATTCAAGAAAGAAGCTTCATAGATTTGTTACACAAAGTCATTCAGCCCTGTGTTTAAATGGAGAATGGATATGCTTCTCTAATTTAGTATAAAACCATAACCTTTATGTACTATTGAAAAGCATTTTCATTCTGATATCTTACACAATGGGTGTATTTTCTTTTTTTTTTACTCTTTCTTTGTCCCCAGAATAAACTACCTTATGGAAGGTACAACAAGGCACGTAAGTACTGCAAAAACACATCCATACATCCCCTCATTAAAGTTAACATGTGGGCTTAATGTCTTGAAATTAATTTTAGTTTTTTAGAAATTTACAGAAGAATATAACCCACACATTTTCAACTCCTTCACCCACTTCTGTGCCCTTTGAGCCTCAGATTTCATTCATAGTTTCTCACAAATAGACAAAGTCCCAAGTGTTACCGCAGTGCCACTGGGAAAACAGATGAATTATCACCAAAAAAACTCATCACAATAATATTTCACAATTGCGACAAACTGCTTGTCAAAGGCCCCTACCCCCATTCATGATTCCGGTCTATAATGATACACCCCAGAGCCCAAACCAAGCATAACTGGGGTCAGACATTGATAATACATTTGCATGGCACAAAAGGAAAGACACTTAGCCCTAACTTTAAATGAGGTATGGTTGCAATCACACTGCATAGATCAATATCAGCTCTGAATCTACCCAATTAATGTAAATAGTTGTAAAATGCATAATAGTGTAATGAATTATAATTACATTTCCTTTGCATATTTTCATCTACCTACCCATATGTATGTGCTACAATGAATAAATAAAGCATCTAATTGTTAAAGAGTTCTGAACCATTTTCCATAAATTCAAGTCAAATGGGTTGCTGGTAGCTCACAAGCACAGGAAATTAAGGGGGCTGAAGATTCACAGGCTCAGCCGCAGTTAATTATCTGGCGACAGCACAAGATGTAACCATGATAAAAAACAAGTCGATAAGCTGCCCATAATTTAACTAAGTTTGCAAAACCCAAGTATTTCATTACTTCCAAGTGATATTTTTCTGTGATGAAGTTGGCTCCAAAGATGCTTTATTGGACGAGTTCTAAAAAACTTACCACTACATATGTTCCCATTTATGGTGCGTACAATTTTATATATATATTTTTTGTTCTCCGTGACAGATGTTTCATGCTAAATGGACAGAGTTAAATAAAAGCACTTTCCCAAATATTCTCAATTATTCTGATACCTTAGGTCCTGGATAACCAAGGCCCTAAAAGAGGGCTATCATGTTCATTAATACACTGGGGGCTCCCTCCTACTTCCTCTATGGGGAAAAACTCTAAAATACCTCTGCTTATTGAATTTTCAATGCAGTCTAAATATTAGTGTGCACACTAGTCTCTGTAGGTAACGTGATCTGGGGTAGCGCTAGCAATTTTTTTCGCTTAGCCAAATCACCACTTTTTTGTCGATTTGTTATCAAAATGGTTATAATTTGGCTAAAACAAGTCAATAAATCCCATTTTCTTTAGCCAATTAAGACCAGTTTTAACATTTGGCTAAATTGCCAAGTGTTAGCGCTACCCCAGGTGATGAAAAAGTGTAATGTTAACCGCTGGCAGTATAGTATGAGCAACAAACAAATGCATCTTTACCTAAACCTGCTAATATCACGTTCCATTACATACCTGTGACATTCTCAGATGAACTATGCTGTCATCCCTATTCACTTCAACCAGATAGATTTGGTTAAACAAGATCAGCAAAAACCAAAACATAAAACCCCACCCATAAATCATCATACTGTCAAATAACAAATCACAAACTTTTAGAGTACATGCTCTGTATGGAAACTTAATGGTCATTTATCACACATTAAGTATGGAGATCGCACGTGCCTCCCTCAGCCAAAGGGCTATTAAGTAGCCCATTAAGCAGAAAAGGTGGTTTTCAACAGGACATTCTCTGCAAACGGTGTCACCAGAAATAAACACAATATGAAAACATCTCCACATATGACTTCAGATAATTACGACATTTTCCCCTTAAAAATCAACGTATTTGTAATGCAAAATAAACACAACTCAACATTTCAAATGGATATAAAATATAGAACAATTAAATTTATATGTAAAATAGACAGGGTCTTATCCATTTACACAGTTACTTAACTAGAAATAAATAAATAAATAAATAAATAAATAAATAAATAAATAAATAAATAAATAAAATAAAACAAAAATGTTTTCCTGAAAGTTTTGTCTTTATTAATATTTCTGATGAATATCTCAAGTTGCCTAACACAAATCAGTTGAGAACATTAAATTCAAATGATAGTTTTTGAAATTGCTTTTCTGTAGATTTAGGTAAGATCTGCTTTAAGTCTAAATTATTGACAACAACAGTGCCTGCAGGCCAAGATGAGGCTTGAGTTCAATATACTATTAGACTCATTAACTGTATTTTGTGCATAAAACACTGTATCAGAAAGAACCACTGGTTTTATAAAATGACATGTTATGTTCCAATATTATATACCCATTTTCAGACAGGGAGTGGGAAGGACTAGTTATAATTCTACACACATCAATGCCAATAATGGCTTTTTAAACTCAACTACCAAATTTACAAAACATGAGTATCACAAAAAATTGATACTAAATTGATATAAACTGAACACTGAAACAAAACAGATACAAAACTGATAAAACAATTTTCTCCAGAACATCCATTCCCAGTAGTTTGACATCCCACTCATTTAATATTCATTCATAAAACCTACAGCTCTACTGCAAACCCATGACAAACAGTCTGATTTGAATTTTTATCATTGTTCACACAAGTTGTGACTGATCATGAAGTCACTGCAAGCAATAGCTACTGTTCATCTCCATGATGAATGAACACAGTGACAGCAACTCTTGTACCCTGTCAGACTTAACATGGCATTTACCTCAAACTAGGCGAGTTTTTTGTCCCTAAAGAGTAAAAATGTGTTAGACAATCCCTCAGTGATATGATTTGAACACACACTAGCAGCCAAGTGCTTTTTCCAACTAACAAGTTCATTAATAATATTCAGATTAAATACTTTATGATATGCTGGGTACTACTGATGAGGCAGAAAGCCATATATGACAGACAGTCATGTTAGACAACATTGGGTTTCCCACTGAGAATAACATAATTAATGCCTACTTCAATAACATAAGTGTCAACTCAACAGACAGAGGTTTTTCCCAGCTAGCTAGCACTTAATTCTTAATCAGATATCACATTTTTACATCACATTACTCTCGATATATTGCCCTGTTATTACATCAGTATTAAAAGTTGATCTGTTCACTTCGCCTTAGTTATGGCACACCTATCCATGTGTAATCCTGCACCCCAACTGGCATTCAAAACAACATACTAACTAGTCCGCTGATCAAATATGGAGACCCACTTAAAAGCTTGCTGTCTAAACCCCTGATAGACACTGAACGGGTTTTGTGCCGGAATTACCCAACCAGCATTCAAGTGGGTCAGCCATATCTGACTGCGAACTAGTTAGTCCACTAGTAAAACCTAATCAGATGACCTTAACCAGTGGAATCACTTTACTTTAGCATGTAAATTATTCTTTGCCACTGGTAAATTAATTTTTATTTTAAGATAATTTAAAGGAGCCAGAAAATGCTTTATGAGAATCTTATGAGAATCTTATGATGCCTCACTTTGTAAGATTATTTTGGAATAAATTTCTGTTATTAATTTCTATTTTCAGTAACACTGACAATAAGCAGGAATGTGACTATATTACTTGACTATATGACTATGTGACTATATTACTTGTGCAAATCAGTTTTTTCCCTTTTTTTTTTTTACTTTATGATTGATTAACAATTTGCCACTACATTCAACAAATAAATAAGCATTTCTAAATAATCCCGCATATATAGTACATCAGCATTCTAAAAAATTTAATTATCTCACATAAAGTCAACCAGCATTCTAATAAACATGCACTGAATTGCCATAAAAGAAATTTTTTAATGTTAAACAGTCAGTGTTTAAGTAAATTTACAGCATTAAGTTGGTCTCACCTTCTGTGAATTTCACATTAAAAATCCTGCAAATTGAGATGATAAACTATCTCATTATTTTTCGAACATATACTTGTATAAACTTTATACCTGAGCTTGCCTTTAAAATTTTAATATTAAAAAGAACTTACTTTAAATCCTCAATGAACCTCATGATCAGTCTTATTCCCAACAGCTCAAAAGAGAAGTCTTCTTTGTTTTTTTTTTCCAACTGATTCAATTTGGAATCTTCATTTATACATGGAATAATTCTCTTTCTTTTCTGATATGAAAAAATAATATGGATTGCTTTGTGATCATTTAGTGATTCAAATTCCCTGTTACAAAATTATTGTTCCAATAATAAATAAGTTTTTCCAGAACACCTTTTGTGAGTGTCTACCTCAATGGTTTCTTAGAGTTATCTGGTCCATGAATACTTCACACAGTTTCCTTAGTGGATAGTAAGTGATAATGATAGTAGGTGTTCTAGAGAAAATCCGTCCCTTTCCTCTACCAAGAACCTGCCTCCCACTATGTCTGTAACTGTATGCAGCAATGAGTTTCCGAGGTTCTTCAGGAAACTGGGCTGACATGAAATAACCTAACCACAAAAATACCAAACTCCAAGGTCTTGGACCAAAATCAACTAGTCCCTGGTACAGCTTCAACCAAAGACACTATCTGTTTGAAATATATATGTACATGCAGCTAAATTGCATCCTGAATTTCAAGTGACACTGGTAATGGCAAAGAATTGCTGACAATAGAGGCAGTTTTTCAGTGTTCTATGAAAATCAAGGTGATGAACCACTATTAAGGTCACATGTTTTTCATTCATAATCCTGGCCCATGTCTATAACATGTTCTCATTAACTGACAAAAGAAACTTTAACTGTCAAAAGAAAGTTGATCTTTCTCTGTCAAATCAGTTACAAATATCAGAAAATATAGTTTAATTTTGCAATTAACTGAGTGAATACAAATCACAGAAACCCAGTGCATCTGAAATGCAGTCAGTTTTTATTAAATAAGTAATAAGCTGCCCCCAAGTATGGCGACATTTATTTTTAGTCATCAGGGCCCAAACTAGGCATTAGTAATATGGAATTACTTCCAATGCTGCAAGGACCATCCCACATACATCACAGACAGTTAGGAAATAGTGAACAACCAACAAGCACATAACGTCTTTTTTTGAGCCAGATAAAAACTTAATAAAGTTCACAGAACTGATGTAACAACAGTAAGTTATACATAATTCCATTTTTACACTATTTTTCAGACAGAGTTCCACCTGAACAAGTGCATCTGATTGCAATTTCAGCCCATGACAAATGTTCCTAGAAACATAAATATACAAACCACACAGGGGGAGATTAGCTTGAGGTCAATGAATCAGAAAGAAAATGCAAAACAAAGTTGAACCCACTGACCTTCCTACTAGAGGAACTAACAACACTTAACAATTTACACTAAGATTTTAAAATTAAAAATCATAATTTGGAATTTAACTTTTTAGTATGGTGTAATGTAAAGGACACATTCCTTAGAAATAAAATGCATTCAAAATGTCAACCACTGGGATTTTTTAACTTCAAAAAAGCATATGAAAATCTTCCACTGAATTTCAAATGTATTATTTAAATAAAATGTATTATATAAAATAGTTCTGACTTTGGCATACACATAGTTACATACTATTAATGTTTTTAAATGAAAACATTCATACTGCACAGCAAATGTTTCAAACTTTTCTCTGAAATTCATTACAAACATGTTCTAAGTATGAAAATCACTACCACACAGGTGCTCTTCTTGAATGGAAGGCTAATTTGACACAAGAGTTAGGTAAAGGCACCCTGAGCTTCAGAGATAACTTGACACTAACCTCTTCACTATAGCCTATCTTCATCGTGTCAAGTTACCTCTGACCACATTCGATTGCCCCCGCCGCCCGCCAATCAAATTTAAAGCCCGCACTCAATGACTCATTGAACGATCTAGCCAATGAACGCGAACGAGTCAAATCCGGACCAATCAAAGATAAGGTACCCTGAGTGTCAGAGCAACGTAAAAGCTAGCTTGCTAAATATACTTTGTGATGGAGTCGCTTTTATTAACTCTGAAGACCAGAGGCCATGAAAGTTTTCCAACAATCAAATAGAACTGCTCCGCAGTGAATCTGCAGTTGAATGTCATCAGACCAAAATAAAACGTAAAACAAATTTTATTCTGCTTTATTTAATATTGTTTGCTGTATTTAAGATGTAAAGTGAAAAAATAAATAATATTCTTCAGAAAGAAAAGATATATCCAATGTTTTTGTATTTTTTTCTTATCAAAGAACTTTTAGTCCTGAGATATACACGTGCACAATACATGTGCTTGCCGTGTGCAAAATTTGACAGCTACACTGTATGCCCGATACCACTATAAGGGCTGCACAATGGCTACACGAAAATAAGTTTTTACAGCAGAATGTTGCTTGTATTGTGGCACTGACCTTCGACTGCAATATATTTTCAATTCCAACTTCTAACTCCGCGTAAGGCACTTTAATTGCTTCTTGTCTCGCCTGCACGAGACTTCAGCGCAAGGCGGGAAAGGCAGCTCCAGGCGGCCAAACCTGTGACGTACGAGACTTATGACTTCCAAATATGGATCCAGGCGGACACAGCTGTGACGTGTGACTTCCAAATATGGAAGCGCCCCAGGCAGAATTTTGAAGAAGAACGCCCCCGAGTTGCCGCTGTTCGCTAGAGCCTGGTATTGCTACTATGGGTTATATATGAAATCAAGATCTAGCAATACCGGAATCTAGAACCTAGGGTAAGATAAGGCTGAATATCAGGGACTTGCGCAAAATACATCATCCCTCAGTAGATAATGATGCAGGGCCTCAAACTGCTCTGGTTTCAATTCCGATATACTCATATTTTGCAAAGAATCAAGAGGTAACTTAATACATTATTTTACATAGTCACTCGTAGGAGACGCCATGCTTTCTTCGTGTACGGTTATGCACTCGGAACTACTCGGATGTCTCCGCACTCGACAATAACTTTGTTGTTAGTATGGAGCTTGCGGAATCAGCCGAGGATTGCCGATTGACGGTCAACCAATCAGCATTTTCACCAAACTTTGGTGAAAAATTTTGAAACTTGGATTCCATTGGCTTACATAAACTAGGTCAAACTATTTTCGTCAGAGGTAACTTGACACGATGAAGATAGGCTATAGTGAAGAGGTTAGTGTCAAGTTATCTCTGAAGCTCAGGGTGGGTAAAGGCAATAACCAGACAAAATCTGATCCTCTTATGGCTAGCTGTTTCACCATCTCCACTTCAAGTTCACCTGACACAATTAATTCTGAAGACATGAGCAGTATTCACTGACAGAATCCACCAGATCAGAAGCACCTTGAAAGACGTCATTGGTAGACCTAATTATTAATAATATTGATTGATCACCAGCCAAGCACTATGCCACCCAAATGATCAGAGCTAAACAACACTGAAGCAGTTTGTTTCTGTTATCCAAAAGCCTTTTGACATTTTCATAACATCTGATGCTATATTAAACCTGTGGCATGAGGAAAAAATAAGTAAAAATTAACTGATAATTGATTATGTACGGTAATGCCTCTATCTTTCAATGGGAAAAATTATTCATCTTACAGATCTATACAAAATTTTAAGAATCATTAAAAATTGCATACAACAACAGTACATTAACTGGATCAAATCAAATTAAGGGGTAGCCTGCTACTCAGTTTTGTTGCGATTACTCAATAGGAATGTTCTAATTTTAAGAATTTATGGCTCAAATATATGCAGCAGATGTAAAATTCACAATTTCCCTCCTGAAATGATCAAGTCATTACCACATATGATTTAGTGTGAAATAATTACAAAATGTTTCAGAGGAATTAAGTATTATATTTATATTAGCACATGAAAACACTTTACTTCACACATTCCATAGAGGAAGGCAGTTCATTTTTTTTCACCAATCCAGAAAAGTCTTCAAACTTCACTTTGCACATTCATTTTCTAAATTTATTATATATAAAATTTTGCTCCTAGAATGCCTTTTTTTTCTTGATGCCCACTAAAACTTCACATAAAAATAGCAGATGTCAAATTGCAATATTTAAAGTCGAACAGCTCTACATGGGCATCCTCTCTTGCATTCTGGGAGAAAAATGTACAAAAAAACTATTAAATCAAGAAATAAAGATGAAATCCTATCCGGAAGTTTACTATGATATCTTTCTAGAAATCTAACTCTTTACTGAATTCCCAACAAGCCCCCAAGTCAGGGCAAAGCGATAGCTTGTTTCCTGGAAGGCAAGTTTGGATAACCTTACTTATGAATGCAGATGATTTCCTTCTTTAGTACCCATTAACCCCAGACTAACGGCATTTGAGGCACGTTGCCCCAGACGCTACCCAGTACAGTTAATTATCAAATTAGGTCTGTTTTCAGACAAACATTCAGGGTGTTTCAATATGTTTCACTGCTGCTTCGTGCTTGTCACATTATGCAAATATTATCAATTTGTGCCTCATTTTTCAAACAATTCATCAAATTAAACAAATTATTTGGCATCTTCATGTTATTCATCAATTTTTTTACAACTTATCTGTTATTTATTTATATCTAGGCCCCCATTCAGATAGACACATCATACTAGTTTGGTTGGTCCAAATCTGCAGGGGATTCTCACTTAGTGCAATCAGTGGAATCAGCTTACTGTCTGCCACATCTCCTTGAACAGTTTGGAGATAATTAACTTTTAATTAGCTGCTCTCTCGAAGTGTGTCATTCAGTTTAACCTGTTACCTGTTGGACCGACTCAACTAGTAGTGTGTGTCTATCTGAATACTCACTAGTTTTTTTTTTTTTTTCAAAAAATTCTTTCATCAAATTTGGTGTAAAGAAGATTTTCAATTCAATATCTTGTTAAAAAGCTGAATTCAATTGTAATGTTAGTGACTACTTGATTCTATAAGCTTCTGCCAAGAACCCCCCACTCCCCTCCCCAGTCTCCTTAAACAGCCAACGTTTGAGGCACTTCACTGTTGTCAATGAAAACAAAATGTCATCCAAGTAACCTGATATCTTATTAATAAGAACCATCCTCAGAGGTAGAAAGAAAACTTTGCCTTTCCCCACAATATGTGTCTGAAGTACCTACACCAGCATCCCTGTTTTAATATGAAGGAATTTGTTGTACATTGCCTACAATTATACTATTTCCATGTATCATATTATTAAATCATAGGCCATGTCGCGAAATGCACTAGTATCCATGAGGGATTAGTCAAAACAAGAAGAACCACAATTTGTTCTTTTCTTGATTTTTGCAACATGTGCTGATAAAAATTACCATACAAAAACAACTTTCCAACATAACCATCAAAGTCAAAGGCATTCCTCCTGTTTACGTGCACTTGTTTGCTAGACTCCTTCTATGCCACCCCCCTCCCCTCCACCCTGTCAAACACCCCATGGACAAATACCCTACTATATTCCTGCTTAAAATACAAACATGATAAGTGGCTCTCTTTCTCTACAGTGTGTCACAGAGCAAAGGCCAGGTGCCCTAGCAAAACATCCCTATCTCACCCACAGATCACCCGTCCATTAAATGCTTAACTGACCTCACTTCCTGGCTTGTTTTTAAATAGTCTGGGCTCTTAAGTTGGCTTGTCTATCAAAACTGATATGTGTAAGGGTTGGGTGAAGTACACTGCTGCCATCTCTGAAATGGCTTGGCAGCTTAACAAACTCAGTGTTCTTCCTCCTATGGGAGGCACTAGTAGATTGCTAATACACAAGTTCTTTAGCTTAGTAAGATCACACTACCTTTAATGATCACATTCTTAACAAAAAGTTACTCATACCCCCCTCCACACGCACATGCACAGGTCTGTTAACAGAAGCTTGAAGCCTGTAAAGACATTTTGGTTTTAATTCACTTTTCCAGCTAACCAATAAACTTACCTGAGATTCTATTGTCATAGAGGTCTTTGTTTGTATCAGACTTGCAGAGACATCACCATAGTTCATACATTTTAAAGCCCTGAAGAACCAATTTTGTTTTTCCAGTGTAGAAATATTGCAGCATAGAATTTTCTTAAAAGGGGCACTAGCTTAAATCTCTAGTTATCTTAAGTATGACTCCATTCAGGTAGATCTTAGCGACCTTAATCTAATGGATTGCAGCACCAGTAAAGTACACCTTAATCTTGCTAACCAGGTCTTTGTATACTAATGCAGTTCCTTATCTCTATCAGTTTTTCATCATTTTTCATTCATACACAGTACAGTTTGTCCAGGAAAGGTAAAAAAATAAAATCGTTAAAAATGCAGGGGAGAAAAAAATTGTTTAAATCTCTCTCTCTCCCCCCCCCAAAAAAAAGAAAAACAAATGAACGAAATAACCACATTATCCATTTACAATTCCATCATTTCAAGTCTTCATTCATTCTGTGTCAA